GATATGGGCTCGTGTTGGGATAGGGCGCGAGCACTTCCGTGTTCAGAGGTCGCCTCGATGACGTGCTATATAGTCTCCCTCGGGAACTACAGACGCGAGACTGCACGTCTCGACATTGCAGCACCTCATTCTGGTATTTCACCGCCGTTTTCTTGTCTTTATCACACATTTCAAATGGCGCAGAGGTATGGATGTTCCTGATATCTATACCGTCCTGCTGGTAGGCTCCGGTTCGTCTCGTGGTGTTTCTTTTTGTATTCCTCCGTTCTTTCTCATATTTTCATGACCCCTCGATTGGGCGATTATTCGCCGCTCCCCGTTCAATTGCTCTGAGGCCAGGCCAAAGTCGCATATCCCTCACTCGCCCCGGTTCCGCATTCGCCGTAGACTGACAGCCGGTATCGTTCTATCCAGGCTGTTGTTGCCACAACAGATTCGCTTGCCCATAGTGCCTGACCACAGACAGGATCACACTTGTCGCTGGATCTCTCAGAGTTACGCTTCTCTGTCTACTTTCAATAGGGGAAGTCAGAGTGGACGGTTCTCGCCGGTTATTGCATTCGGTTCTGGGTCGGTTCTGTTCATCCCTTTTTTGTCAGAACCTGGTTGGAACTGGATTCAACTCTGACCCCCCGGTTCCGTGGACGGCATGGAATACGGAGCACGTCCTTAGTTTTGGGCTTGCGCTACTGTTCTGCATAGTTTTCCTTCTCTCAGCTACAGTTTGATAGTTTACTTGCTGGAATATGATGACTTTTCTACCACTTTCACATTCAAGACAGCCTAATAATTTTCCAACCAAAAATGCACGAGTTGTCCTCACATTTGGCGAAATTTGCGACATTTATGTGGATTTTCCTCGCTGAGGACGGAATAGCACAATGATTAGGATGTTTCGTCCTTTTTTATACAGTCTATCAAGGGTAATTATACAAAAGAAAAGGGGGGAAGAGGGCTGATGCGCGAGAACCATGTTTAAGAGAACCTGGTTTTGGTGTGAGCTCCGCCTCCAGAGGCGGAGCGCCAGTTCTCTCGGTGCACGGTTCTCCCACGGTTTTTGAGGAATCGGTTCTCCTCAGAACCGAAACCAGAACCAGATACAAGAACCGGCGAGAACCGCCCACTCTGACCTCCCCTAATGACAGCTAGTGGAGGAGAAACTAAAACGTGGTCTTAGGTATCACCTAGGAACCTGAATCGACTCTGACCATGATTCGGGTGCAAAGTGATACTTCGCTGCTCTCGATGCAACTCGGTGGCCATCTTTCTACTTTCCCTTCGCTATCTTGTGAACTCCAACACCGACACCGACAACGCGTCGCTCGTTTCTGGAACTCAAACACCTTGGAATATTTAAGTCGTCAACTGTGTCTTCGATTCCCTTTGCATCTCTTGAATCACCCTTCCTCCTCCGTCTCATCACGCCCACCTCTTTTAATATCCCATCATCGAATCCTCGTTCACATGGCATCATCGGGATGGCTTATTCGACGAAAATGGTGGGGCATTTATATTGCCGGCCTTGCAGACGTCGAATTTGCCATTTGCTATCTTGACTCGGAGATTCCATGTGTCCGGAGTTGGATGATACGGAATACCTTATGCAACGAGAGAACCCATTGGGTCCCTTTTATCCCTCGGAGTTGGCTCGCCTGTTGCTGGGCGGCATCTGCATTTGCTTATAGCAAGTGTTCGGCGGCGGGAGGCGCTTAGCGGCTGTCCTCTTTCCCTCTTTCAACACCGTGTTAACATAGCGCTCTCGTGTATGGCTGCTCGAGTTTAGAACGGGAAAATCGAGCCGTCGGAGTGCGCGCCTCTATTAATTTTAAAAGGAACGTTGGCCATTTTCGAGGTGTATACACCGAGTTGGATAACTGACCTTCCACGCAGAAGCTCGCTGCCACTTCCTTCGCCCCGCGCCTCGACGTCCTCTACATCAATCGTTTCTGCAGTTAATGCAGAGTTCCGGTCGAATCCCAGTTTGAGTTTGGTTAGATGGTGATGGCGAGCATTGGGAGAAAGGCGGCACGTATCTCTACGACAGCGCAGTGAAAGGTTAGCGAACACGGTGTTTAAATCGTAAGAATTACGAATTAACCTTTCGCTGAATGCTAGGGTTATTCGTATAAGCGGTTCTTGAGGTATTTTATATCGAAATCTTTGTCGAAAGACCGGCGCGTTCATAATTCAAGTTGAGCGTAATGAAATACTTAGGAAGTACGGACCTTTTTCGATAGAGAACGAAGCGATTACCCACTTCCAACAAGATGGCAAGAGAAGTCCAATACTCCATGGCCTATTCCAAGAGGCAAGGATGCATGGTACTTACGATTGTTATGACCGGAGTGGTAGAGATAAGATAAGCGGATCAACGGCCCGACGACCGTAGGATGGATAGAGTAAGTACACGTCACAAGATTCCCTCCCTTTCTTCGCAACGCCAACATCCACCAACGAGCCACAGGTGTACATCTCGTCGGGCTGCCTATTATGATCGGCACAAATCGCTCTCATTGCTTCATTCCTGTCCTGACGCCATTGGCTTGACCAGCTCTCGATGCCACCCGCCCTTATCGATCTCCTGCTGCCTCTGTGGTCGTGTCGGCGAGACTACCCTACGCACTATACCACATTCCCCGCCGATCGTCACCATCCCTTGCGCTCAGCGGACACGCGCACCTAGGACCCCCTTCTTTCCGATATCTTCTCCATGCTGCCAGGTCAATCGCCGTCCCAAGTTGAGTGTCAGTTCTCGTGCCAGATATCTGTTGGATGATTGCATATCAGTCATTGCGACCTCTGTCTCGTGAATTGCGGGAAATGAGGGCCTCTGTGCTGATTCTTCATACCCTCTTCACATTCTGGCCCGTGGGCATCTCATCATGGACATCGAACGATGGGATGACTATGCTTGAAAGTACGTTTGTGTTTCACCAGTCCTTTCAGCTCATAGCGCGTACCTCTTTACCCCACACGTAGTTTTACTCACTTTACGGATCCTTCCAGCGCCTCGTGAATTTTGAGGCATATTCCAAGGAGGGGAAACTGGATCTGGAGAAATATGTATTTGACTCCCAGTGATACTTTGAAGTTTCGAGAGCGATTTCTCCCGGTACGGCGGTGCGATCCCTTTCATCTGTTGCTTTCCCCAAACACTTGTACTCAGACCCCTTCTCCCATTAGGTTTCCTTTCTCTCCAACCCGCGTTTGTTCTTATGACTCATCTTTTGGTGTACCGAGCGATCAGACTTTGATCGGCTACGCGTTGCATCCTTTCGCGCTCAAAGACATTATCGACACGAACCCCTCCTCCGATGCGTACGGAGTGCTGCCACGTCGTCACTTTCTGCTAACACTATCCACCCATTGCTCGCTATTTACGGTCCACTGTCCAGGCATCGCAGGACTCGCTTCAGCGAATACCCTGCTCTGTAGTTCACATATTGTGGACAGGGAATTGTTCACTGATGCAGGCGTCAAATATCTTGCTTCCTGGGCCGTCTTCTCCGAGTAGTGGTGCTTACTCATGCCTCCACACGCTGGCAACCTCATTCTGTGTCAGCAGACTCTCTACTGTCGTGTTATTGTCGACCCGATTAGTGTACTCGATCGCCCATTCAACCGCCTTCCTCCCTTCCTCAAACTTGAGCACGAAGACGTGCCGGCCCATCCCTCATGCACACAACATCGTAGGGCACCTGGATATTCTCGACACATGAAGGAGGAATGTGCAGACTTTGCACCGATTTCACGTCCATGTCGATGTAGTTCCAGCCTACTCTTATGATGTTATGCGCTCAGGATGGAGGATGCCCTCAAATCCAGGCGTTCTTTGCATGTCAAGGTTTTCTGGGACCACGGCGAACGAGCGATGTCTTTGTTTTCATTATTCTCTACTAGTTTGAGCACGTACCGGTCCTCGTTTGCCCTCTGTTCCCCTTCGCCTCCTTCTCTCTGGATATCCTAATGCGCCTGCCTTCATGGAATTCAGACTAGAGTAGGGATTTTCTGTCTCTACGCCCGACGTGTCAAGCGCACCTCGAACAACTGGCGTCGTCATTGGAACGGCTAGTCTCACGATCCGCCCCGAGTCGTTGATTGTATACACTCCGACTCACGACGGTATGTGTGAGCTATGTTAAACGGCGTTGGGGTACGAAGGACGGTTAAATTCGAGGCTAACATGCGACGCTGCAGTTCACGCCGTCATATTTGCGCCGTCACAACGGATCGTCTACATAGGTTGCGATTCATTCGTCGCGAACAACTCTTTTTGACACTTGCGCTTGAGTCGTGGTTCTGGACGTCGATGGATCATCTTGCCTAGTGTTCAGACTGTAGTTAGAGGAACACGTTCATAATGCCTTCATCAATAAAATCGCAAAGGGACGCTGGATTACATTGTTTTTATCGCCTTACAAGACGTATTTATCTATACACTGAGCCTCAATCAGGCACTTAGGGGTAGGAGGACGAAATGAGAAGCGTATCGCGGGCCGGGTCTAGACCGCTCCATTTTCGAACTGCGAAGGCGCTTGTCATCACAACTCTTCCCTTTGCATCCCGAACATCCTCCAGCGGGTCGCACTAAAGTGTGCCTATTCTCTGAATTGCATAACGTCATTTCTCTCATCTTCCTCCTCTATTCTCTGATATGAACACTTCGCCAGCTCGCGGTCCTCGATATCTACGGCACGATGATTGTTCGAACCCCACCTCCACCTGCCTCGTGCGAGCTCGAACGCCTCCGTCCTCACGCAATATGCGATAGGTATCTACGTCCCTGCCCTTTGTACACACCGCCCGTCGCTACTACCGATTGAATGGCTTAGTGAGGTCTGTAGCCCACCATATGCCGACTCGGTGTGTACAAGGAGACCTAGCTGTGAAAACGCCGCCCTCGAATCAATCGGCGACTCACTGGCCCACCTTCTCAATACCGAACCTAGGCGAATGCGAGCTTGAGCTCTAGGGGGAGTGGCATGCAATGAGTTGAAAGGATGGCTGGAAAGACGTGCAGGTGAGTCTCAGCCCGAATTTCATTCGAAGTTGAGTACTCACCGTATCCAACAGCACCGCCCACCACACCGATCGAATGGCGGGGCGGGCGGAGCACCAGCCTGGGCACGAGGATTCGGACTTAGGTGGTGGGGATGAGGCGAGAGGAAAGGCGGCTTATGTAGGGTACAGGGCTCGGCGGGCGCGCTCGTCTTCGTGCTCTGAGGATGACGCCACTGACGATGTGTTTAGGTCCCTCGAGGGCGTTCACCGCGTCCGATTTACTGTGTTCTGGTTGATGGGGTGAATGTTCCTGTACGTCGTTAATTCTTACTACTTAGAGGAGTACTCACCGTTTTCCAGGCTCGCCCTCGTCGTTACATTCCGACAAGAGGGCGGCATCGGCCCATGAACCACGAGCTTCGGCCTGGGGATCGACGAGGAAGTCAGCCAAACATTGTTGAGTGCGAGGGCGAGCACTTACCTTGCTACTAGCGATCGACGACGGATGTTTAGGGGTGCAGAGGTCTTCACGCCTTTTTGAGGTCGACTTCAGCAGCATCGGCTCTCATATCCTGCAGTACTAGGCAGCAGACGCCAGCAACGGGTATTTGGGTTGCAGTAAGCTGTGTGTTTGTGTTCGAGGGTAGAAACCTAACCTGTATTAGTGTTTAGATTGCCGGCGGGTATCAGAGAGAGTGGTTCAAATTACGACTCGATGTTCAAGGGCGAGCGTACACAGGTCAACTTGAACTGTTCTCAATAGTTTGAGAGAGCTGACTTACTGTGGCCTTTAGCGTTGTGTTCACCCCCGTATTCTTCGTCGTCAACGCTCGCTGCCTCCTTTGTCTCCGCTGTTGATGAAAGCGCCGACGCTGGGTGGTTGGAGGGCGGCAGCGCGAAATTTGAGCCTTCGAACACGGGGGCGACTTTATTGGTAAACAGAGAGGAGGGGGCGGGAGTTCGTAGAGGCGACCACGAGCACAAAAATGTGAGTTGGGATGGCGTTTAATTAATATAATTATGACCTTACCTACATCTTCGTGGTATGGTGGTAGGTTGCTGCGGTCGGCGACGGCATTAGCAAGACATTGTCGCGCATCAGAAATAGTGAGTACGGATCACTCTCGTTAACTCGGGGGATTTATTACCTCATTTCCAATAGCTCCGTTCAGGTGGCAGGGAAAGGCGAAGAGTCTGCAAATATTCGAATAATCGCAGGTAACTCGATTTCAAGCGAATTTGAGGGAAAGTGCCTGGCTACGTCTCATATGCCAGGGCATGACGCCTATTCGTCTCTCCTGTAAGTCTACGTCATCATGAAGTAATCGTTCATTTATTTATCATATGATGTCCTAGGCTTTGCTTCGGAGTGCCGGGTTCTTCGCGTCTTCTGAAGACTGATATTCTAGGTGACGATGTTCGCATTGTTCGCATTCCCGGCGTTTGGTTCAACTCCTTTGAACAGTTATAGGACCATCGTATCACCGCTCGTGGTTGAGAGAAATTAGGCCTCGATGGACGATATTATGTCTGCCCTAGAACACATTAAGGTAGCACCCTTCTCGCTATTCCAGACAAGGCCCTAGTAAATCTAGCTTATGCTTTTTCCTCCTAGAATTCGACGGTGGATGATTTAGGAATGATCGGCACAGAAGACATGTTACCCAGAAACTTGTCTAGGGAATGTGCGTACTCTTTAGGCGTCTTTTTCACTCTCATAGGCTTCGTGTTCGATTGGTGGGCAATGGACTAGGAACCTTGTGTCTACTTTCCGATCCGAAACGTTGAATCGCCATTGTGCGCTGTTCAAAGGTTCAATCCAGGCTTCTGAGCGTTCACGGCTAAATGAAATTTTACAGATCTTCGAGGAGATTAAACTCAGGAAGTGAACCTTTACGCTTCGAGGCCGGAGCGGCAAAGATTTCCTTCCAATTTGCATTTCGACAACTGGGTGCTAGGAAGTTACTGGTGTCTCCCCAGATATCATCCGCTCTCTACCTCCTGGTCCGTTCATTAATCTTAGGTCTCGCTGTCCAACTGACGCACGACCAAGCTCGTTCATTGCAAGTCGCTCTGACCTCTGCCGTTTTCTCATAGGTACTTCTTATGCTACGTCGAAATTGATCTCTGGATGTCCTGGCTTTTGTTGGAAGTAGTAGCCAACGCGCCGAAGGGCGAGTTGTACACAAAGCCGATCACGATTGTTCAATCTGGGAGCTGCACGGTTGACCTCCTCCTTGTGCCTCTCTACGACCGCACGTTATTTCTGGATTCACGTTCGAGGCTGTAGCTTCCTGGGTTGCAACCCCATAAGAAAGGGTGTCTTTGGATTATGCTTTACGAGCGTACGTACACTCAACCCCGCCTTGCCTCAGAATTTCATTTGACTCACAGCCTAAAAATACAACATAACTTTCGATGTTTCTACAGACTAGAGACCCGCCCGGATCGTCGTAGCTTCACGTTCGTAAACTTGAACTAGCGGGAAGGCCGTTACTTCCTAGAGGACAGGGGTTTGAGGAAACGTGCGCTGAGGACTCGTCAATATTGCAGAGACGCGCGGAGGAGGACTCGGTGCCTATGCCAGTAGGCGAGCCGTATGCCTGTGTTGAACGTTGCGCAAACAGTCATTCGTGGTTTGGGCGGTGCTATCTTCTCAATCCTATACTTCCCCAATCTCATGGCTCATCACCCTTCTTCGCGTTTAGGCAACACCGGATTGAAGTCTGGTGTCGCGGAGAGAAATCTGGACCTTTTCTGTCATCAAAGCTTGCCTACGAGGCTCACAGTCACTGCTCTCGTCTCTTCCTCGCCCCATAGGCCGTACTTCCAATACGCCCGAAACTTCTCAGTATCACATCACGGCGCAACCTTAAACTAATCAGAACGAGCTACCCACGAGCTTCCTGTGCATTGTCAGTGTTGAAGGCAAAAGAAAGACCTTCTGGCAACTTTTCAGAAGGTTTGGGGTGCCTTCCGAAACAGCGAAAAGGGGAGTTAGATTTGTCCTCACATCATGAACGTGAACGCGAGGGGATCGAGTGGTGTAGATATAGCCACTGGGTGTATACCTCCCATTCCCCTCACCTTTGACGAGCAGCCTGCCAGTCCATTTCTCCCGCTAGAACTAACCACCTACCCGAGTGCGAAAGACCACCCCCTTTGACCGATTCTCGATACTATACAACATGACCAGCAACGTAATCACCCAAGATTTGCCCAGTACGTGAAGTTGCCTTCTGCAGTTCCATCGGCTCACGCACGATTTGCTAGTACCCACCACCAGTCCCGGCTTCGCTGATATTGTTGGCTTCGGTCTCGATGGAGTCGTTATCATACGCAACTCTGTCAACGTTCAGTCCTTCCTTGCTGTCAAGAACTTTGCACAGAACGCAGGAGGATGGCGCACCACCAAACACATTCGTCTCATCGCCGACATGACCGGCAACGGAAAGGGCGACATCGTTGGGTTCGGCGACGCCGGTGTATACGTCTCTGTCAACAATGGCAACAATACCTTCGCCGACCCTCCGAAGATGGTCATCTCCGACTTCGCCTACAATGCAGGGGACTGGCGCGTCGAAAAGCACCTTCGCTATTTGTCAGACATCAGGAAGGTCGGCCGAGCTGACATCGTAGGTTTTGGGGATTCTGGAGTCCTCGTCTCCCGCAACAGTGGCTATTTAAAGTTCGGTGCTGCCACCCTCGCTTTGAACGACTTCGGTTACAATGCCGGTGGATGGCGACTCGACCGTCATCTGCGTTTTCTTGCTGACGTTACAGGGAACAGATATCTCGACATCGTTGGCTTCGGCGAAAAGCATGTCTTTATTGGCCGCAACAAGGGCGATGGGACTTTTGCCCCAGCACAATCTGTCATCGACAACTTTTGCATCGGTTCCGGCGGCTGGCAAATCGGCGTTCACCCTCGCTTCGTAGCTGACTTGACAGGTGACGGAAGGGCCGACATCATTGGATGTGGTACTGCTGGATGCTACGCTGCTCTGAACAACGGCAGCGGCGCTTTTGGGCCAGTCAAGTTGGTCGTCAACGACTTCGGAACTTCTCAGGGCTGGCAAGCCACCAAACATCCTCGATTCATTGCTGACCTCACAGGCAATGGACGCGGCGACGTTTTAGGATTCGGAGAAGCTGGTGTCTACGTTTCGCTCAACAACGGCAATGGTACTTTCCAGTCAGCCAAGCTCGTCCTCAGCAACTTCGGCGTCAAGCAAGGGTGGGTAGTTGGCAAGCACCCGAGGTTCGTGGTTGACTTGACGGGAGACGGATGCGCAGACATCATCGGCTTTGGAGAGAACGCGACATACGTCGCATACAACGACGGGAAGGGTAATTTTGGTGAAATCAAAACACTTACCAGTGACTTTTCGTCTAGCGGAGGAAAATGGGCCGCGAACACGACCGTCTGCTGGGTGGCGAACTTGGACAACAGCAGGTTCTAGACGCAGCTGTTGCACTTTGCTTTTCCATCTCCTTATATCACAGATTCTCCCGTGCACGCTCGCTTTTCTTTCGTTACGAACTCGGACTTGCCCTATACCGTCTTCTTTTCTCCATTTCTTTTTCTTTTTCTTTTGATATTGCCTAATTACGTATGGTTAACTCGCAAGGACTGCTCGAATAGTTACTCGACATCGCTCGGTACGGACTATTCGTAGTTGTATTACATTATGTGGTGCGCTGCATTGTACAAATTTTACGTTGTAGTATTCCGGTCAGTAGTACTTGACACTTTCTTCACTTTGATCTTCTGCCCGTTATTTCCTTCAGCGCGTGTTTTCATGGACCATAAATACGGTTCAGACTTCTTGCCAACGTCGCAGCTGTTCTCGCACAGAAGGTAGAGCAGAGCGAATCCGGGCCTTTTGCTGTGCTCGAACTTTCGCCCGTGCTGAGGTCGAGAGTCCATCATCGCCCTCCAGCAAGGGCCCGATGCTTCAACTCAAGCTTCATTCATGGAGGGTGGGTACCGGTATGTGTATGCAGCGGGTATGGTGGTGGGGAGTGTAATGATTGAGTTGTGCGTCGCCGGGTGAGGGGGATATCGATAATACTGTAGTCAACAAGGTAAGCGGCTTCGGATGAGATACGTTCTCCAACCCACTTTCGGTGTGTCGTCAAGCTGTCTCTTTCTGCCATCAAGTTCCCTCGCTTCTTGTGTTTGTGCTCGGCACTCGCAACGTCGTAGGTGGTTCATATATTAATTCAAGGTCCATTTCCATTGTTCATCGTAGGAGTGTTCTGTAAGCCGCAAGCACGGGTTTTGAATCGCTGTTGTTGAACCCCTGTGGGGCAGAAGAGAGGCAGGCAGCGCATGGCGGTTGAGCAATCAAGATATGTAAACCTCGGTCTCACGAAGATATGTATACCTCATATTTATCCAATTTATGCAAGGCACTAGACATGAGAATGACGAAAGAATCAGAACAAACTTGCCCGGCCGACCTTCAATATAATTCACGGATACAAGAGTTGGTGGATGAGTGCGGCGAATAGATCCCTACCCTGCAACGCCTGCACGAGAAAGACCAAGAGCTGTCCAGCTCCATCTTCTGATCCTTTGGCGGCTTTGGCCAGCGCGACGAGGACGCCTGCAGCAGCCGGAGGGTCGGCGAGCATGATATCGCAGAAGGTGTCGGCAGCATAGGCGGCGTCCTCCGAACGGAGTTGGGAGAATATCAAGATCAGCGGAGTCGCGGAATAACCTGCCGGTGTGGGGGATAGATCCGTAACCCGAAGTTGATGAGCGCTGCATCACGTACAAATATAATGAGATTTGCGAATTCTCAAAACATGCAACGACTTACGAGACCTGGTTGGTACTGGAATTAGACGAGAGTGGTGTTGACGTCCCTAGTCTCAGGCGAGGATTGACTGCAGGCCGTCGGCTGTGGAACAGGTGGGGTGCAAGGCGAGGAAGAAACGTGGGTTGACGATTCTCCTCCATCTCGGTGTTGGTTAAATGTCGGATTCGGGTGTCGCAAAGCTCGCGGTCGATGTCAGAGGAAGAGTGTGAATGTCTTACTTTCTCCTAACGGTGCGAAGAGATCCAGGTAATCTTATTTGGAAGTACCCGCGCTTCGCCCCTATATTACTGCTGATACCACTATACTGTCACTGATAGTACGTACTCGTTTTTCTGTGACGAAGATGACCGCGCACCTTAACACGGAGCACAGTGCGTGGAAGCAAGGGCTGAGGTACTGTAACTAGATGATTCTTCCACGAAACAAAGACTCAGCCAAACATGCAATGCGCAAATATAGGATGGGCATAGGCTAATCGGCGTACCCATATTCTCATGTTCGTAAATTCTTCGCCTTTCGCCGCAACCTGAAATTGAGCTGCACCCCCGCCCTCATTATTTCCAATCCGCGACTCGGATGCGAAGGTCGAATGTCTAACCAACGCTATCACAGAGCGCGATGAACAGCTGACACCACGAAGGTAAGCTCGTGATTTATGTTAATTGATTAAAGACCGTACTAACTTACAACTTCGTGCTCGTTCTCGCCTCTACGAACTCCCGGTCCCTCTTTGTCTACCGATGCCTAGCCACACGTACCACTTGAACGAGGTCCAGATGAAGTATTCGAGGCCTCAAACTTCACGCAACCGCCCTCCAACCACCTATCATTGGTACTTTCATTGACGGCAGCGACGACAGAGGCAGCGAACGTCGAGGACAAAGGATACGGCGGCGGCGGGAAGCTAAAGACTACGGTAAGTCAGCTCATACACTATCACGAACATATTTAATTCACCTTTTATTCTCATGATCGAACACCGAGCTCGCACCTTGAACCTACCGCTCCAATCCCCGCTCGCCATCTAAACATGCCAAACGGTAAGTTCTCCAACATTAAGGACAAAATACACGGCTTACCCACCAAGCAAATGTTGCCACCGTTCACTACCCCGTACCGCCCAGGACACGAGACTCGCCGCTACTCAAGCCGACCTCGAACGAGCGAGAGGATTTCTCCGCACCTCTCCATTGTTGACCACTGGTATTCAAATAAACGCTCACTCTCGCACTCATCAATGGTTGGATTACGACCTGTTCGGCTCGCAGCTCGTTAATGCGCCAATGTCGTTATCGAGAAAGAACGGTGCGAGGTTGAGGTAGAGGAGGGGTCGACGACACCGCACGATGACGGCGAGAGACCACGGTGTATGTCGGGTTTGATGTCCTCTTAGGCGACTTGCTTGGTGGGTGAGCGTATAAATCACCGACGGGGAGGAGAATGTCGTAGGATAATACGAAGACATCGGTTGAACTTCGAAAAGAGGGGGGAGGGATTCCTCTGAGTATTCCAACATGACGACCTCCGCGAATTTTCACCCCATCGACCAGAATACAGCGAGTCGGCGGAGCTGAATGTCGTTGAATAATATAAATCCACCGTCAGCGGCGTTCGAGCGCGAAGAAGGTAGCGGATACTTACCAAACTCGAGACCAGGTCGATGTTGGAGAGCACACGCAGCAGGAGGAGCTAAAAGTATGCGCTTGACGATAACTATAGGTGAGTAACTCGCTTTCGTCCATGAAATCGACGACCACTTACTGGTAACTGGAACCTCTCATCCGCACAGCTCAACTGGCCCCCAGCTCGCCTTCGTCCACAGACGACGAGCATGAGCCGGCCCACATGGGTCCTACGCCCAACGTAAGCATTCCTTTCTCCCGTGTCCTCCTCCGCTAACCACATCCTTACCAGCACAAATCCTCGCTCCCAGCGACGCGTTTCGCCCGCGCTGCCATACTCCACCCATAGATACTGTCACCTGCAGTCCGAGCGATATATGTAGCATGGTGGGGGGACGTGGATCGCGTTCGATGTGGCTGGTAGGTTGAGAATGCTATTAGATACGATAAGCACTCGATTCCGTACGAAGTTCATGCCTAGACTCACTTTCGCGCCATTCTAGCTGCTGACTCGACTCATCCTGCGCTGCCCTTCGAGTTCGAGTTCGAGTTCGAGTTCACATTCCCCCATGTTCGGGTGAATCGTGCGTTTGGGCGGAGTCTTCAGGTTGCTCCATAAGCATCGTCTGCGTGTAGCAGACTGGAGGCATATGGCGCCGATTTCGTAGACACAGACACAGTAAAACTGGCGAGAAGACGGTTGGAAGAGAGAAGAGGTGACTTCGGAGGTAGGGTTGGTGTTGTGGTTGATGATGCCATCGATATCGAATGCCGAGATCCGCGGTTGGAGAGCTGAGAGAGGACAGTAATAGTGCGAGGGAGATGAGAAAATATATTGGGCGAATGATCGACAATGGTGCAAGTGCGACTTGCTGAGGGACGTTCGGGGAGCGAAGGCAAGAAGAAGAGTTGTCGTCGACCGCGACGACGCGCTAGGTTCGGATTCCGAAAATGGGACAGTCTAGACCCGGCCCGATGCAGACATCACATCTTATCTTATCTTATCTAATAGCTTTCGGGCTTCATCCGCGTCGTCCCCTCGCCCCATATCCCAAGTACTTGGCTCGGGTTCTGAGGATAGGTCAATAAAAAAAAACTATAGACAGCGGAGCCTTCCACTATTAGAGCAATCGTTCTGACGCGGAAGGGTATGGACGCTTTCCACAGAATAGGGGATAACCATCCGTTGAGGACTCGACGTTCGACGAACTAACCGTAACTTGATGGCCCCATATTTGAACTTGAGTGCATACCTTAACTCACGGTCCCGTGTTGTACTTTACCTCTCCAGTATGAGCTGATTCTCCGTGCGCTCAACGGACTTTAACACCCATTCATATGTGGCTGAGTTCATAGCAGTACAAAATCAAGATCAACTGCGACTCCGTGCAGCACGTCAGACGTGCCGCGCCAAATCGGCGGTCGAGAGCGTACCCTATGACCGGTGCCAGGTATCCGAGGTGTAGCGGGGTAGTTGTTACTATCGTCGAAGTGCCGTTCATGGTGTACTTCTGTGTTTACCCAGAGAGAGGTTCAAATGAGAAGAAGAGACGAAGCACTTTTGGAACGCTTGCAATGACATGAACTCGGCTGAGGTCTGAAGAAACGAAAGTAAACAAGTCGCCGCTCGTTCGTTTGCAGTGGTCCCAGAAGACTTCAGGATATCAAGGTCGATAGCGGTGAAATGCCTGCCATCCGTCGCATACAACATTTCAGGAGTGACGTGGCGTTACATCGACACAGACGTGAGTCCAGCACAACATTTTCACTGCCCTCCGTCTTATGTCGAGCATGCCCAGCCACCGAGCGATGTTGAACGCCCGAACGGAAGTGATAGGTCAGCGCATCTCCGTGGTGATGTCCAAGGGTGGAACGATGCTTGAGCACGATACTAACTAGTATAGGGCCCCGAGAGGTTTAGCGGCATGCCACGGAATGACGCAGTGTAGAGAGGCGGAAATACAATGCACAATGTACCTTCGTTGAGCGCACGGGCCATCTGGCGCTTCATCTGCATCAGTGGAGGACTCCTTCCATAATAAATCAAATATGAAGAAGCATATTCGCTGAAGGAAGTCGTGCCATGTGGGGCCCGTGACTAGAAGAGGAGGGTAGATCGAATAAGGAGACAAGGACCAATAGCCGCACCTGAGTGGAGATTTGTGTCGATAGAACATCTGATGGGGTGAAGAGGGGGAAAAGGGCGAGAAGGCGTGAGATCAGTAGCCGGATTTTCAGCCGTACTCGCAGGACTCAGAGACCAAAACGGTAGCGGAAAATGACAATGTTCCCGACGACCGGTGTAGGGTTCAAGAACGACGAAGAGCATTCTCGTCTAGGACGATTAAACACACGAGACGCGCGGACGTGTGTTGGGTATAGTATGGCATCGCAAAAACGGAAGTGGGAGAGATATTTCATCGACGCAGATAATGGTATTGGCGGGCCGTTTCCACCTACCGTGATCGGGCGTCGAGGTCTCCAATCGTTGAGCGATGCCGTACAAAGACGAAGGGGTCAAGGCCTGATGGATCGAAGGGAAAAAGCTGAATATGGAAGACAACGAAAGAAAGGTGAACACGAGCTGGAGGGAAATTAAATGAACGAGGAACATGCGGCCGAGTGCGAGGATTCAAGAAGGAAGGGAGAAAGTGTTGACGCACCATCACTGATATTCGCCTTCTCAATTCCGAGCCGTCCTCTCCTCTTCGAAAGTAAATGCTAGATACGAAAGGACTTCTGAGAGGACCCGAAATAAGTAATGCTGCGTTTGGAGTTTGGATGTACATACTGTGGACGCATTGCCTTCGCAACATACAGCTGTAGAGTAGATGCTCGAGCAACCTTCCAATCGTCGCCTCACGCTCCTCCTCACACTATCGCCTGTCGTCCGCACACCTCGATCTTATCGATCTCCTGCTATCCAAGACCCTGATCTCCCTCCTGCCTGCAACTCACTATGCAGCTTATTTCCAACTAGGACACGTCCCTGAAATCATGCAATTGAAGCGGACTAGACGGCGGTTAGAGGGAAGCGTTGGCGGTGGATGTTGGGAGGAAAGAATTTTTCGACCCGACTTCGGAGACAATCGCTAAACGGGCATCGGGTCGTCGGCCCGCATACTTATCTTATCTCTAGCATCGATCACAAAAGTCGTACCATTGTGTTTCTTCGATGTGAACCTCCTGAAGCCGCTCATCTCTCCAATGCTTGTCTCGCCGTCTGCTGTTGCAGCTTGCCGCGCCACGCCGCTTCCCTCCATCCCCTCGAACACTACGCGTAACGCAAGGGGTCTCCCTCAATGGATTTCTCGTGCCTCTATACACTGCTATTCAACCGACAGCTACTTTCTGAGTGGCTCTCACCGACCCTGCTTCCGTTCAGAGAGGCTGCGACGTCCTCCAGACCAAATTAATGCCTGTCTCATCGCTATTGCATTGCGCACGGTATAATTCAGATTGGCGAATCGTTTAGCGGAGATTCACCGTGTTCGCTTGTCGTCGCTCTTTCCAAACGGACAGCTGGACGATAGGAAAGAGGTTTCTGACCTCTTTCAACGGGTACGGTCCGCAGTATATTCTACAACTCTGTGATGCTTCGCTGCCCTTTTTTTTCAAGGCCTCACTGCGTTCATGTAAAATTGCCTTCTCCCTCCTCTATTGGTATTTTGCACGCGTGCAGACCAGTCCCCAAGCACATATAGATTCATCCATCCCTCGCGGCAATGCCATCACTCTTGGGGCACGGAAATTCACCGACGCGAGGCATCCAACTGGCGAGCGGTCCCCGCTACATCTGTGCCCTGCGTCTTGCCATTAATCCATCCGCAAGACGATGGCATAAACGAGGGATCGGCGTGTGCCTCATCTCCAGGATTTGGGACAACTGTATCAACAAAGTGCGTCTGTGGCGCCTCCGACAATCTCTTCCGCATCGCCATTAGACCCGATTTTCTGACACCCGCAGATATTAATACAACTATCTTCCTCTCATTCTCACCAAGTGCCGGCTTTGGCATCGCCAAGGGCTATTTACCTCGACGAAAATGATGGGGGATTCCACACATTACGTGCGGGACCTCTACAGTCGTCGTGATCATAGTGGAGTTTTCTCGGCGATACCATGTGCACATAAGCGGGCGGTACTATGGTAGATATGGAACGTCTGTTATGCTGATCCACCACGAGAGCACGAGAGAGAGAGGTAATCTCTTCTGGCAATTGTCTACTTTGCGCCGTTTGATCTGGAACTCGGAAAGCCCCTAGAGTATCCGTCCTGGAATTTTCATCCAAATATGCTTAAATACAGCACCTTCTAAACAGACTACACAGTCGAATTTCACTTCAATGTTATGTCCCGACCTGGATTCCATAACGATTGAACCGATACCGGAGTCTCCGACGTGGAACCATTAATCCAACATTTCCCCCTCTCAGAATTAATTCCATCCATCCGACAGGATGAATATCTAGTTTCGTAACGTATGCGCACTCGCAGTACACGATCAACGACTAAGAATGGGCTCCACAGGGAGGAGAGGGACGGAAAGACGATGTAAACATACACTCACCTCGCCCTAGCCTTTCCGGGCTCGCCATTTCCCCAAGATGGTCTCCACTCCCGCCCCCGCCATCCAACACATCCCACATGGCCCAGAGAGAGGGTAAGATCACCACGAATGGCTAGAACGAGGAACAACTTCTTCCTTCATAATTGGCGGGGTTCAGACCAATCTCATGCGGGAGACCGTGTTGAGATGGCGTATGGTATCTTCCTTCACCGGTTCATGCCCGTGTTAATCGACGGGTGAGTTCGTGGCCATGATTTTCCCCTCGCATTCGCGCACCCGTCGTCTTTTTTCCTCCGCACCGTAAACGATCGTTCCCCTATGCCTCTCTCTATCCTGTGCCGTCTCCGGTGGGTTAGCACTCTCTTTGACCCACAACGGTATCTTTAGTTCTCATCTGTGTGTCCATTCTCCGCCCGCATCTCGAACGGCAGCCCACAATTTTCTCGTTAACTACCTCGTCCATCTCTCCCATGGTACTCTTCCCCGAGGAACCACTCGACTCACCCGCTGGCTACTTCGTCGGCCGCCTTGGAATGACCCTTCAAGACGGAAAGTGGAGGATCATCAGGAAGCTTGGATGGGGCCCGCGATCGTCTACGTGGCTTGTCGTGAACACGGCCGATTCGACTGTCGTTCGCGCTATCAAGGTCTTCACCGTCGAGGAATCCAAGGGCTCAGTGGCGTTGAAAGAGGTCGAAGTTCTCACAGAGCTAAGAGCTACTTCCCCCCTCCATATAGCCTGGCTTCATGACCATTTCCGCGAGCGCAGCGCGAAAGGCGAACATCTGTGTTTAGTCTTTCATCCGTACGGGAGGACTATAGAATCGCTCCGCCAGACCAACACCGAGGGAGGCTATCTCGCGCTACACATTGCTAAACAAGTAGCCGGAGAGGCGTTGGAGGCACTTGCCGAGCTCCATGAAAACAACATCGTACACGGTGGTACGACCTTTACCCCTCTATCCTCTCAAGAACGAATGGCTCATTGGCGTGTTAAGCCGTTAGCGCCGATCACTGCCTTCTTGGAATGCTCGACGCGGAGGACGTAAGCGCCGCTCATGGCCATACAGCCAGCGATAAAGCGGAGGAATTGACAGATGACATCGGTATATCATACCCCATCATCCGGTCGAGACCGTTAGAACCAGAAGGTTGGGATTCCAAGTGGAACGAAACGGCTGTGGATTTCGCAGGAAAATCTATTTATTTGATTAGTTTAGGACACGGTATGTTTCTTGTCTTCACGGGTAAGCCAGTGCTGATCACTTTGGAACTTAATTTAGCGCGTCGCATAAAGCGAGATGCAGGCGAAGATGTCACACGAGATTCTGATGCACCTATTCCCCCAGAAGTGCTTGCAGGAGGCGAGGTTAGTTCAGCTCGGACATATGGCAGTTTGGATGCCTAGTTCGTACTCCTTCATATAGAACATTCTATTATCTTCTAATCAGCACTTCCATTAGGCTTTCCACTTTATAACGGGGACCCCGTTTCTCGACGAGTCGTATCTCGCATCGCCCACCGAATTCCTGTCTCGAAATCTCTTGAAGATGGAGGCCCGTCTATCCTCCACAGGCGCAGTCGCAGAGGCAGATATTCCGTTGACGGCGTCCTTCTTGCGGGCTTGCCTTGTGCTTGACCCTGCTCTCAGGCCAAACTCAGAAGAGGTATTTGATCATGAGTGGATGAGAGGCGGTGATATTTGCACTTGTGGGTGGTCCGCAGACAGGGATTGATAATCGATTAATCGGAATACTATGTATTCAATGACTTGGTTCTCAAAACGTGGGCCTTTATCGTTATATCTTATTAGATTTCGAAAACTATAAAGCCCAAATTAGAGAGGCTCTGATGCTATACGTGCGGAGGATTCTTCCTCACTTGATCATTCGATCTCCCTGGTCGAGTTTGACTGTTTTTCGTAGAGCAGACCAGACTCTCCGTACGCCCCACGGGTATCCAACTCGGTTCACACCTGGTATCAGTCGTTGGATTACGAAGAATCAACTGCGACTCAATACTGCGAGTCAAATGCGCCACTCCAAATCAGCCGTCGAGAGAGACTATCGCGTGACGGATACCAGGTGGTCGAGGTGGAGTCAGCCGGTAGACAGAATAGAAGCAAAGGGCAAGTGATTCAAGTAGATATTCTATGGACGGAAACGTGTATCCAGAGAGAGGGACACAAAGGAGAAGGGGAGGTAGTCGAGGAATGGCACGAGCCGGAGCTGGAAGGAAAAGAAACAAAATAAGACATCGCCCGTTCATTCAGTGGCCCGGATCCAAGAAACCCGTGGTATACGAAGGACGTCTAGAGCTGCAGGCATCCATTCTATGCGTATGGCATCGCAGTCCTTACGTGATTATAAATCGACGCAGATGAAGGTTTGACGCGATGTCTACGGTTTCCTCTATCATGTATCGAGAATCAGCCGTCCAGCGATGCCATATGCACAAGCCAAAGGGAAGGTCCAGGGAGTCTTCATCTCGACGTTTGGGGAAGCGAAAAAAGGCTGCGGGAATCAACGATACATATAGCGCAGAGCTGGATTACCCACACAAGAAGCGTAAGTAGGCATCAGGGACCACACCTCCATGGAGCACACGGGCCAGGCATAAACTTCTTCTCCTTTTGCTATGATCAGCAAACGATTGCCCATCCACATGGTGTAAGGTACGGAGCAATATATTCGCTGAGGCGACTCCTGCGATGTCTGGTCCGTGGATAGAGGAGGATTGTCCAGTTTCGCTGGGGTGAAGAAGATCGTACTGGAGTTGAAGATATTCGATTATCGGGACACCGAGAGACGAGACATCGAAGAGGAACGAAGACGAGCTACAGTAGAAGGACATTGAGCGTGAGAATTCCACTGAGCGCAAAGGTTGGGATTCCGAAACAATGAAAAGAGGGAGTGGAAGGCACCAACGCACAACAGATCGCTCCTTGAAGCACCACTCACGTTCCGCTATATTATCACAGCCTTCTTTCCGTTTTTCCTGAGCTGTCGCGAAGTACAAAAAGGCTCTGAGGATCCCAGAAATGAGTGATCCGATGACAACCTCTCTACAACGAGCGATATTACATTCAATCGAAATTTGGTCAAAATCGGAAAGCTCTTCAATCCCAATTGCGAGCCACAATCGAGAAACAAGCACGGTGGATGAGTACAGCAGCTTTTTGATTAAATCAGCGCTGCCGAAGGTCAACTAGAACGGCGGAGGAAATCCGTACCATCTCCTCCTTCAGACAATTCATCCAACAGGAAACCAAACGGGGAAGGTTTTACCGCGTACGCTCATGGGAGAGCGTGAAATTGCCTTCCTCGCACATTCCTCCATCCACCACCCAGACGTCTAATACCCCGCCCTCCACACAAACACATGTCATCGGCGAACGAAAAATCACATCGACGGTGATGTGGGTGCGGCGAGGGACACGCACAACCCCAGCTCAGCTGTCGAGGAATCCCAGCGATGGCATGTGTTCGTGAGTAGAGGGCGGGTAGGTGGTGGCATTTCCGTCAACTAGAGACGCAGACAAACCTTGCGCGGGGGTGTCAACGACGACGAAGCCAACGCAGAAGACCCGCAACGTGGGGCGACCAGATTTGTCTACCGGCGGGTTGCAGACTGCACCGGACGAGAAGGTGGATCCGATGAGACAGCATGCGATCGATCCGAACCATTTCGAGTGAATCACGATGAATCCCAGCGCACTGTGGCATCCGTCAGTTAGTCACCCTCGGATATTGCACGGACCTCTCGGGATCAGGGTAAATACTTACTGAAATAGGCATGCGAAAGGGAATATCACCCGAAAGCAGCCCGACACTGATCGGAGTGGACTGGGGCATGTGGACCCAAAGACGCACTCGGAGAGAAGGAACTGCTGGTAGGTGATACTCGGTGTCGTGCATACCAGGTAGGTACGTGGATAAAGGGTGGGGGATTGGGAAAAGATACCAGTAGAGTCGGCGAGCACGTACGTGACGTAGGAGAGGGTTGCCGAAGGGCTGAGGCAAAGCTTTTGGATTGGATCGTAAGGCTGTGTCTCTGTGAGTAAAAGGCACAGGTATCACGCCCTTCGTCACTCTCGAGGAAGGCATCACGGAATTAGAGGACCAGCAAATATAAGTATGAGATCGCCCCCGTTCATGTTCTGCAACACACGCAGAAACGGCCGGGTGACTCCTCAGTAGCCGGCCACAATCGGCGATGCCTTCCAGGGAGGCAGATGAATGCCAGACGGGCGTGATGGGACAAGATCGTGCATGCGTACGTCGGCGATTATGAGAAATGGGAGCCTGAAGGATGGAGGCTTGGATACCTGACGAACGGTGACGGTAGTGCGACGCAGCGAAGGAGCATAAAGCCAACGAGGCGTGCTTACCAGCGACATAAACTCCCATGCCAACACATGGTCTTCCACACCCTCAGCTGGCTCAATCCTTTCATCGTCGTGCACTCCGCTTTCGATCAGTCCACCTGGGCGAACACTTCAATGATGCTTGTCGTCACGAGCTGCGGGGGGATTGGGTGATGAGTGAGTCTCGTATACCCTAGCGATGGGAGGGATCATGAGGTACACGTTGAACGATGGAGAGCACACCTTTGACGATGAGGAGGAGGTTGGAGCACGGAGCGACCAATCTGCATGGAAGACGAGGGTAGAGGGGCAGGGATCTGAAGATCTGCGGAGAGATTGGTATGTATGACGACCACACCGAGAAGCAAACGAGGGGGTCGGGCAAACACGTAGGCGATTCAGCGTTCGAGATTCGATATCGGCGTGAGATTGGAGGCATGAGAAGGAGCGAGATGAGAGCCATGTTCACGTTGCAGAGCAAGAGGAAATGTGACGAGAGCTCCTCAGCGACCTCGGGCCGTCCAGCCGATTATCTTATCTGTTACACATTACGTGGCGATTTTGCACCGCTAGGACCACGCCTGATCCTGCCTTCATATGCAGCGGTAAGTCTTTATTTCCTCATTGCAGAAATACTTGACATGGTAACAGCACTCCAACACTCAGAACCCGGAGAGTGAGGAGCGAGAAACATGAAAAAGAGGCATATATACGAACCCGCGAGATTCATTTCCTCGCAGGGGCGGGCTTTCTGACCTCCTCGCTCTTTTACATCCGTTTGATTATTTCGTATTCTTCTGTATCTGTGGTGTTTCTCATACGGTGGCGTTGGTGTTCATTAGTGAGGCCAAACGCTCCTGTCCTCAATGTTAATCAAACGAGTCCGCGCACGCGAATAGCGCGCTTCTTTCTTGAGGGTGACCTTGGAAGCGGGAGTCAGGTAAGAGTCAAAGCGGTGAGAGAAATCGACCCCTCTCTGTCGATACCCGGAACGAAATCAAATGAAGACGTACCCTTAATTCGCACCTTCATCCAAATGTGAACCCCGCCGTCCGAATCTTAAGCCCGGAGTTCTTTAAATGAGCGGAACGCGAGGGCAACTACACAGCATACGTTAGTACTTGAATGAGTAGGATTTACTTTGTAGGGAAGTGCAGATTAAGACGGGTTTGAGTGGTGGTGGAAAAGAGAAAGAAGAAATGCACCCGGCATCCTCATTCTCGATATAACTGTATTCTCGAATCGTGTGTTCATCGGTCGAAAGACCAGAGATTCCTGCAAAATAATGTGATAATGTGGCGATTACGAAGAAGATTCCACGACCTGCATCAAGTCGTCGAGCCAAATAAGATAACGACCTTGGCATTCTGTCGCGTAGACCGAAGCTAGACGCCCTCGCGGGGTGGAGAAAGACATCAATACCCCAGACCATACCTCCAACGAGGACCCGGGCCAAGCACTGAGGACAAGGCACATCTAACAGCAAATGTATCCAGGTCCACGATGTGTGAGGTCTGGAGTATGTCATTGGCTGAAGGACGTATATCTTCCAATGCCTGGCCCGTGGTAAATATGGCAGAGAGAATCGTTGACCAAGTGGAGATGGGAGAAAATATAGACGAGATTGATAAGAGACGGCTTCAATCTTCTCGACAGTGCGAGAAATAGGCATGGAAAACGAGGCAGCGGGGGGGTCCGATTCCCGTTCGACAGGCGTCGAGTTTGTTTATCTTGGCGGCGTCAAGAATAAGAGGAAAAATTGCCCCCGACGGCGAGTTGAATACTCAAACGGAGGCCGAATCCACGCGCCGTCAAAGCAGATACATCGTCAGTGGAGCCAGAGTATTTGAAACTTTGAAACAGCACACGTATAGCATGGCTGGCAGGAGTTGCACGCACTCTTCATCGACGTAGCTAGAGAATAATGTGGCAGGACTTTTTCGCCATTTCATTATTTAGCGTTGAGGGTAACCGCCGGCGAGCGATGCTATACGAGGAGAGAGAGTCAGCATGAGTACCAGATCTACCACGATTCGAGAATCGCTGTTGCATGACGCACCTCGAGCTTGTCTTGCATTTGTACGAGGTCGGACGTTACCCCCCTCAACTCTCCAGGCAATGCACCCGGGCTCGTAAACGCGGATATTAACAAGGAATTCCCTTGAGTTCGCAATATGCGATACGCGGGGGTGGTTTCCTTGAGGTGAAGAATGTCCGGCGATACCTGCCCGGGAGATGAAGGGCAAAGGCGAGGAGGGCGTCAAAAGGATGGGTGTCACATGCTGGCTGAGGATGTGGGTGAGATCTTGAGAGATCGATGAGATCGCCTGCGGTGTCGATAGGTGAAGCTCGGGGCAGCGGCGGGTGAGGCGAAGAGAGATCCCCTTGGATCGACTGGATCGGGGGGAAATTACTAGAATATGACGATCAGAGGAGACGTGCGCAGTACTTCTGGGTGGGCCTGTGAGGTGGTGGACATCGAGGTGAAAGAACGAGGAAAGTGACGTGTGGGATAACTAGCGAGAGATAAGATAAGATCCATGGCGCACCTCTGATCTCGACGACGCACATAAACCACTCATGAATCACTTGCTCACCATGCGAATTCATCCTCTGCCCACTCTTCTACCACCTCTCTCCTCGTCGTCGCCCTTCGCCAGTCTTTCGCACTCAGCCCAAGTCATTCCATTCCCCCACCACGCACTCACAATCTCAAAACCCCACTCTTCCTTTCAAGTTCCTCCCACCTATATCCAGCTCGGCATCGCTCCGACACCTACGGAGAAGAAGACCAAGGTGGAGGTGGACGAGGGTCCTCGGAAGAGCCCCATCCTGGTCTCTCCTGCACCCACACCTGTCCCTACCTCCGAAGACGAAAGTCGCGTAGACGGAGCTGGAGGTATCGACATCAACATCGACACCGACACGGTGGGCGTAGAACTCGAAACGACGACGTCGCTCGTCGAGCCGCTCGCTCTTGCTTCTTCTCTTTCCTCTACTTCTTCTAGCTCTTCGTCTTCGTCTACGTCTTCGGCTTTGGCGTCCGCGTCCGCCCCTCCACAAGACTCAACGACTCCCACACGAAACCGAATACCGACACCACCTGCGCCCGTTCACCCGTTCCCCCACACGACAGCCAAGCTCGAGCTCTTACCCTTGACTCAGAGTAGGACGGTGCATGGGATAGACGTGGAGGAGGAGGCGAGGCTATAGTATTCGTTTGACGGTGATTATCGGTGGGTACGGAGGGAATGAACGGGGTGGGTATGGACGGAGGCTATGGATAACGTGCGTACGTTTCTGCCTTCTACCTCAATGTTGGATGTGCTGGTTGCAGTGTTCGTTTAAAAGGGATAGTTCACGCGAACCGCATCCTCCTCGTGGTGGGCCTGCAGATCGTGGTATCGAGGTGGTTATGACGTGTGTATATGCGATTCGACGCGATAGCCTTCGTATCATATAGGCTCGATAATACCCAAAAGGTTTTCGCCCTCCCTCGGAGGTTGGAAGATGGAGACACGAAGGAATGAGGATCCAAGAGCGCATGTTCTTGACTTCGTGTCGACTGATGGTCCACCTTGGTCGCCTGCTCAAGTAAGTTCGTATACACTTCTGTCCACGTAGCCCCGCCCGCCCACTTCCTCTTTTCACTCTAGGCCTGTTCAGCCGATCTTCGTCTCCTTCCGTTTCCGATTCTGCATCTGGTTCTGCACCGTCGCGGAAGCTGCCGCCTCTATACCAGCGCTCTAGTAAGAGAGCGCATACGAGAACGCAGACGCCAAGTCGAAAGAGCGTGCCATGCCAGCGTTGTTGAGCAAGGAACTCGGTGCTCGAGATGGATATGGTAGTGGAGGACGGGTAGGTAGAAGTCGGAGGCTGTTGGCGCCCGAATTGAAGTTAGATGCCAGTACGGAGAAGCAAATACCAGAGAAAATTTAAAGGCAATGAAGGGAGAGGGAGATTCCGTTTGCACGCATCGCATCTTCGCATCACCAGCACCCGCACCTGCTCCGCCGCTCCTCAACCCCACAAAATGGGGTGTACGCCGTCGACAGGTGTCGCATCACCTGCGCATGCCGTTCGACTTGGACAACGGATGTACGGCTGGAGTGGGCCTCAGTGTCCCGAGCAGGTCGCTGGCTCAAGGGAACGTCGTGGTATGAGATGATGAGTGCTACGTACACGGCGGTGATCTACGAACTAGTCGACACATGACCGCGGAGCAGTGGAGGCAATCCCCACTGCTCCACGGCCCCGTCGATACAAATTGTCAATCCGTTGTAGTGCATTTGGACGGTATGCGAGTCGCGAAGTCCTCAATTTCATGACCGCATTTTCCCTCGAGACGCCAGCAAGGCGAGGAGCGGACAGAAGGTTGACGGGGGATTACAATATGTAAGTACTCATGGTCCTTCACGCGTTCACGTTCGAGGGCACATTTGAGTAAGGTGACCAGGCGACCGACGAAACCCTCACCGCTGGCCCCCTTCGTGCCATTATCATTCTCTTATGATCCATGAGTATCTGTTTGATAGACAAGTAGAAATTTAGCAATAGCGAGACATCAGGATTTAAAGGTACTATTTTTTTGAAAAGTTTTCCGTGTTTAGGTGCGCTCCTCCGCCCTTTTTTTCCTTTTTCCCGTTTTTAGTTTTTTTCTGGGGGGTGATGTTTCGGTTTTTTTGGTGCTTTTATTCCGATTTTCTCCTGGTCAGGTTGCGAATAGTTTAAATGCCGCTGGAAATGTCATGTAGGGGCACCAGAGCCCCTATTCATGAATCAGACCGAATTTACGTTGTCAAGCATGCCTCGCACCTGCAGGTCAGAAAAATGAATATCGAACACTCGTCCTGCGAAAGAATGGGACTGAATATGTACCCAGACGCCAGAGAACGAGGAGAATAAAACCTACAGTGTCTGGGATACGAATCCCTGTATACACAGGGAAGTTTTGCTCAAGAGGATCTTGGCATGCAGCAAAGGTGGATATTTGAGGGCATCTTCGGCAACCTTTTCCTAGAACAAGGACAATGTAATTGCATATTAAATGCTTTGCGGAATGGAAACAACATACCTCCAAGTGTATTTCGGGCTACGTCGATTTCAGAGACGTATATCAACACTGAGCTGATAGATCCACTTCGCGCTACTCACCGTTGTTGAAAGACCAGATGGTAGCATAGACCTGAGCACTTCCGCGGCCTGAAACTATGCTGAACGCGCTAAAGTCGTATCAGAACGAATAATTGCAGAACTCACGATATGCGATCTAGCACTCTGTCCCAGAAATTAAACAAGTAAGACCTGCAGAAGAACACTGAGGCATTCGCAGGATAATTACCGAGAAGAAATTGGAGAATTGAGATAGAACACTCCGAGAAGACTAAGGTAATCATATCAGTTAGGAGGGTGTATTGCATGATCGAAGACAGCTCTGAGAGCAAGTACCGGTTCCGAGTCACAATACGTGTTGTGATTGTTAATTATTATATCACGCCCAGCATTGTTAATGACTGTGTCGCATATTGACATATTTTGAGCGTTGGAGAACATTTCTACCTGTACACTGTATATTTGGTGGCGGCATTAATTAACAGGGATAGGGAAAAGCGCTCACATTCATTGGGTAATCATGACACGAGTCTTCAATATCTGCACCGGAGCTGTTGTCTTCCCTGCGAGAAACTTTACACACGTCGGGTGGATCGAGGAGGAGCGAGCGGTCAATCATGTCACAGATCTTCTGTCACCAAAAATTTGGTAAGTCCTCCAAAAGATCTGAAAGGAAAATAAGAACACCTACAGCACAAAAATAACGATCGACAGCCTGTTTGATTCTGTCGATGACATCTTCCTGTGGATTGGAGAGGTTCAGACGGCGAATCACGTCACTAATGAAGCTTTCGCTCTGACAAATGGGTAAGTCCCTTGAAACGGAAGATCTGAAATAAAAACAAGGGTTCCTACATAGCGCATATATCGAGTTATAGCCTGTTCAATTCTGTCATTGGTATCTTCCTGCGGATCAAAGGGATTTAGACAGTGAATGCTGTCGCTAATGAACTTCGCGCTCTGATGAGTGGGTAAGTCCTCCGAAAGATCTAGAATGAAACTTGGAATAAGAATGCCTACAATGCCAAAATGTTGCTCAAAAGCCTGATCAATTTCGTCGACGATATCTAACCGAGTCATTGCTGCTTTCCCTGGAACGACGCATTCATATGGACCATGACAAAAAAGTTTTTCAGCAAGCTCACATACCCCGAAGCACCTCGATTTCAACACAGCAAGTGGGGGAAGGAAGATTAGAATTCCTCTGAGGCGAGTGCGGCTTTAATAGAGTCACTGTGCGCCTGCACTGCATCGCGAGCACAGCCAACATGCTCGGCGGTGCTATAAACGTACCGTACCTGGACACATTGCACATCAATGCTTATAACGAAGAAGACAAGAAACTTTGAAGAATACAGCTTCCAGCACTTGGCCCTTCTTCAGTGACCGCAAAGGAAATTTAGTTCTATCGTCGTCGGCTCAGAGCAAGAGTGATTCTGGATAGCGCGGTGGTGTGCTGAATATTTCACGCCGATATATCTATCCAAAGGAGGCACAGCAAAGCAGTACCTTACAGCATTTTGACAGCTCTCCATCGCCTCGTGCGGGAACCGCATGTTCAGCGTTTGTGGGCCTAAAAATATGGTGATAGTGACGGCTCCGCGAGCGCTAAGATAAGGAATGTAGCGCGGACGACAACAGAGGAGCCACCAGTAACCTCCCACCACCCCGTTGTCGCACGAATCGGAAGGAAATCTGTTCATACCTACTCGGCGCCGTCAGACCCGCTATTCCCAACATTTCCGTGCTTGAGTTCCTGCTATTGGCAGTGAATTCATGACAGATAGTGTTGCTGTCCGCGTTGTGGCGCGTTAATCGAGAACGACTCCGAGCTCTCTCTTACCCAACTCTTTACAGAATACGGAGTCGTGGTCTTTCGCGCCACACGAGTTCAGAATCCATATCCTCGGAGTAACGAGCCTATCGAGATACGTAACGAGAGGTCCGTAGTCGACGCCGTCTTATTGCCTCAGAAGCTGTATCAATACATCGTGCCCAGCGGTAAACGATCAGATAAGACCAGATATTTTGGTTAGGACAGCGTTAGCGCCAGCGGGTAGTCCCTCCCTCTTGGAGTAGTTCACCGCTGGTTGAACCAACCGCAACAGGACCCACCCGTGAGCGGCCCGAGAAGTCGAAGAGGAAGAGCCGCGACTGGGCCGAAAGTAGTCTGAGATGGCCCCGCAAGCATCGCATCGACGGGTGAAAGACGCCGCCTGTGAGCCTATTCGCCTCTGAATCGAGAGTCCGAGTCCGGTGCTAGATCAAGTATTCGCATTTGCATACGAATTCGCACCAGGCGCCAGACGTTGATAGGCGAGAGGTAAGAGGTGCCACACCTCGATCGTCGGAGGAGGGGTCGCAGGTTCATTTAAACTGAACATCGCGACCGGCCGCGGTACTCGAGTTCCAGAATAGAGTGGTACAAGAACTTGGAGGCACGACGGAGAGAGGAATGAGAGAGTAGTTGGGAAAGCGCGTTGTGCAAGGGCGTTCGAAATGATCACGAGTCGAGCTTGGATACGTTGGAGGCGCGTGCGGAGGGAGGGTACGTACATACGTACCTATGTATATATATGCGCGATTGGCGCGTCGTTCTTTCTTTATCATGTTCCTCTCGCGGTCAAGTTCGGTCATTGACACAGTCTTGAAAATGAATACGCGTTCCATATGTAAATCTGCAACAGATGAATAAACGGACAGCATATATGCATGCACCTAGACATCCTTCAACGTTACCACTTCTCCGTTCTCTCCAACCTCCAACCTCCTCGCTCGCCCTCCTTAACCTCCTCCTACCTCGAGCCCAAAACCCACCCCCTAACAACCTCTCGCCCCCCAATCTCGGGGTGCAACAGCACCCGCGTCAGCCAAAACTCGAGGTGTTTCCGCCTATTCTCGAGGAAGGCGGGCCTGAATCGGGCGAGGGGGGCTTTCGGGGGTAGGGCGGGGAGGTGTGGGAGGGCGGTGCGCTGTTTTAAAAGGCAGTGGTTAGTGAATTTTATTGTTAGGAATTTTTTAGAGGGAGTAGGGAGGAAGATTGGAGGCGAGGGAGGACGGAGGATGGAGGATGGAGAGGACGGGGTAGGCAGATGGAGAGGGGGGTACGGGAGGAACGGAGGTAGGAAAGGAACGGAGGTACGGAAGAGGACGGGAGGACGGGGGTAGGGGAAGAGGACGGAAGGGTGAAGGGAAGAAAAGAACAGAGCGAAGGCAGAGGAAAGCACGCACCCCAAGACACCCCCTCAACCCAACCCACAGCCTCTCAAAATCGCTATATCGCCTCAAAACCCTCATCGTCGTGCCTTCCTTCGTTACGATCGCGATATCGTAGACTACGTACGCGCCTGCGCCCGTACTGACCTTCCTTAACGACCCAACCTTGCTCCTTCCTAGTCGCAGCCCGCTGTCGGATTTATGGCCGTCGTTCGTTGACTCCTCCCTTGCACTCGCCGTCGACCCGAACCCAGAAGTTGAAGATCCAGCTGAGGCTGGAGGAGACGATACCGATGGACTCAACAGAGCCCCCTCCTCCCTTGCACCAGCCCCGTCCCCAACGACGACCCACCCGTCGATCCGGACGTCTTGGGCGAACAGTGGAGGTGCGCTCGTACTGGCACTGGCACCATCCATTACTCCTGCGGAGTTGGACCCGGTGTTGTCAGCGAGGTAGATATCAGCCGAGAATATCGATTCCGGTGGGGGACGTTTGCGGTTTGGTTGGTACGTTGAGTAGGGGACAGGGGCGGAGTGCGGTGGGTGAAAAGAGGCTGAAGAGGAAGAGGAGGGTGTGGTTCGAGAGCGGAGGTGTGCTGTCGATGTTGATGAGGCAGAAAAGGGGGGCACTGGGAGAGGTGGGACGGCGGGGTGGTGGTAAGACCCGGAGTCGGACCGGGACTTGGTGAGCTTCGCAGGGCCGGAGGTTGTCCTTCGCCTTCCACTGCCAGTTGGACCGGTACGAGCGGGACCGGTGGGCGTGTTCGTCCGCGTAAACTATTCGCAAAAACGAGTCGCTAGTCAGAACGCAACTAACATAGAGAAAATAAAGAAACGTACGTTGTCCGTAGCCTCCTCGTACGCCCCTTCGTCCCCTCCGTATTCGTCCTCGAACGCCGCATACAGCCTCGCCTCCTCCTCAATGTCTATCCCATCTTTCGTCAGGCTGCTACTCGAAGGCAAGAGCTCGAGCTTGGCCGTGGAGTGTGCGAAGGGATGTACGGGCGCTGTTGGTGGTGGTGGTGGTGGTGTTGGTTCTTGGGTAGAGGTGGAGGTGGAGGTGGAAGCCGTAAAGGTAGACAAAGTGGAGGTAGAGGAAGAAGCAAGAGCGAGCGACTCGACGAGTGACGTCGTCGTCTCGAGTTGTACTCCCCCGACGCTAGCGTCTGTGTCTGTGTCGGTACGACCAGCTCCGGCTCCGGCTCCAACTCCGTCTGCACCACCTTCATCGTCGGACCTATCTTCGGAGGTGGGTGCGGGTGCGGGTGCGGGGTAGACCAGGATCGGGCTCCTCCTCCTCAGGATGGAACTTGAACTTGAAGGGGGTAGCTGGTACTTGGGAGCGAGTGGTTTGGCCATATAATGATATTGAGTTGAGGGTGAGGGCGAAAGGCTACGACGGGGTTATCAGAGGTCGGAGTTGAGAGGTTAGAAGGAGATTTTCGTGTTCGTGTTCGTGTTCTGGTGAGCAGATGCGAGCTCGCAGAAGGAGTGGGCCGCAGACGGGTGAGTGGGGGGGAGGGAGTCGCAAGTGGGTTAGAAAAACCTGCTTGCTGGAGGACGTGACGGTGGAGGTGGTGTGGAGCGAAAGCAAGGAGCAAGGGTCGGGGTCGTCGGGATCCAATGCAGAAATGGGGCGGTCTAGACCCCGTTGGGCCTACGTAGATCTTATCTTATCTTTTCTGGCAGTTTCGTTGGCCGCCCGATGTCCCAATTCAATTCAAGTAGCATCCCCGTCAGACCATACATACTACGATTTTACCAGTCTCCTGTAATGCGAAAATAGACACCACTCAGTACTCGGCGCTCAGCGCTCAGCAGGAGGTCAGATAGCCGGCCCGGGCTCGAGACCGGAACGCCGTAAGTAGTAACGTACATGTTTCGACTGAGCGCTCGAGCCCCCATCGCACCAAAACTGATTGAAACGCAGCAAAACTGTCGGTAACTGGATTCGAACCAGTGGCTCTTCACAAATGACTAGTGCTGCGCCACAATAAAGGGAGTTAACCCCTACTCCATACCGACCTAACAACTACTGTTCATCGCTCTGAACTTGGTCCTTTTGAATCATGAATATCAAGATCATTTTCTATTCCTCGAAAGTGTCTTCATACGGTGATAATACACCTTCTCTTCCGATTTTTATAGTTTTAGAAAGTGTCTGTGGGTTACAATCAAAATTTTCAAGTGATGATGTCGAATTTGGGCATTTATGCCGAGTTTGGCTGTCCCGGAAATAGCCAAATTAGGTCGATTGCCGGCCGAGATAAGATGGCCCGAGAGGCTCCCCAGATTTCATGCGAGCTACACATGTCTCTGTAAGGCGTCCTTACGGACTAGCCTTGATGCCTTGTATAAAAGCTCAAGTGTATCTCGTACAAGTAGTGAAATACGGCCCCGTTTTATTCTGAACACTGTCAAATACCATTATCTGGAAGCCACGCGCGCTTTATTCTGTATCAAAATCCCGTCGCGTCATGCCTTCATTGCTGTCCTGCGCTTGTCCATCACGCAGTCGGCATCCTCCGAAACGAGCGCTTGTGTGCTGGTCAACGGTTTATTCGAAATCTAGAGGACTCAGAGGGACGCCATAATACTCCGACACCCTTCCTCTCAAAAATAACTGACTTAGAATCATTTCATCTGTGTCCCACAAAAACACCTGTAGGTCCTATGTTGCCTTCCTGGGTGCTGCCATAGCCACTAAATCTCTTGCTCCAAGTTTTAATAAATTCCGAACAGTAATATAAGGAAAGGCCAACAGGAAGAATATATCCCCAGAGTGAGATTCAGTTTATTTTGCGTCCATCCGTCGTGTATATCATTTATCGGCCTTGACAGTAGCAGCGGATGACATAGTCTGCTAGAATCTCCCCAGTGATGTTTTTTTTCCTCTGTGAAGAAGTGTCAGTGACGTTCGAGAAGCAAGACATCCTGGTTTTGGCCCTGCGGGCAAGTTATTTATTCCAGAATCTCAACAGAATTTGGGAGGGGCAACAGAAGATCCGAGATGCGAGACGGCTGAGGACTTCGTTAGATTTACACTCTATCCATCTATTCATCGCATATTCTCATACTCTACATGATACACAACACCAGACAAAAACCATAAACCTGACACAGGCAATAAACCAACAGAACGGTGATAGAGAATACCACATCCAATATCCAATACCTCTCCAGAAGGATGCACCACCCTCGCCTTGGCCTCACTTCCGAATAGCCCCCTGGCGCTTCCTCACCTCCTCCTCCTTACACTTGTGCAGCATGATCTTCGTCTGGTTCACCATCCGGTTCGGTTCCGCCGACCCCGTCGAGTTCGTCGCCGCCGTCAACGCTGCGCCTGCGTGTCCTCTATGCCAATCATACGACAACGCATAAGCAAACAGCGACCCATCCTTGTTGAACGCCGTGCTAGATACGGGGGTCGGGTAGGGATCGAAGGCTGTCCATCACCATCCCCAACCACACGCACACGATACATGATCAGCGATGAAGAACATCGGACAAAGGAGAGGTAAAGTAGGATAGGTACGCACTCTTCACCCGCACCCGCGCCTCGCCGTCCCAGAAATGGACGCCCCCGTCCGAGCCGCCCGTCGCGAAGGTGCCGTGCACGGGGTGGAACGCGATGGAGTTCACGCAGTGCACGATCGCTTGGTCGTTCGAAGTGGGGGTGGTCGAGCGACGGTGGGCTTTGAACGAATAGCATTTTCTGGAGAGTGTATTTGAAGTAATTTCGTGAGTGATACGTCATTGTAGAGTCGGAATGTAGGAGTGGGAGAGGGGACTCACACCGCGTCTTTGTCCTCGATGTAGCTATGAAAGGATGCGGTGAGGGAGTTGTGTAAGAGGAAGGAGGAGGAGAGGAGAATACGTACCTGATTGCCAGCCGCCCGTCCACCCCGCCCAGCGCGAACCCGTGATCCCCCGTCGAGTTGGTGAAGCAGCTCACGACCCGGAGTTGTTTCTTCAGCGGGGAGATCTTCGTCTAGGGGTTCGACAGGCATTTTTAATGTGAAATGAAAAAAGCATAGAGCTAGGACGCACCTTATACGGCACCGTAGGGTTCTTTAGATCATATATCATAATATGCTGCTCCGCGCAGCCCACCACGAGACACGGATACCGCGCGTCGAGGGTGTAACACCGCTCCGGGAGGTTGACTGTGGCGATCGCGCTGGGCGTGCGGAGGTCCCAATACTACCATCCCATCAACCCGAATACGCAATTCTGTCAGTGAACGACAACGAACAGGGAGGGGAACGTACCTTCAAAGTCTTATCCCAACTGCCTGTTACTAAGACCCCGCCCTGCGGGCCGTCAACCCACCGAAGGGACTTGATGGGAGCGTCGTGCTGCCCGACTCGGACGTTCTGCCCCGTTCCGATATCGAACGCGCGAGCGGTGTTGTCGGCGCTGGATGAGAATACCTTCGTTCCGTCCTAAGTAATGGAGATGTAAGTGTAGAAGAGGGAGGAGGGTGTGAGAAAGAAAGGGGAAGTGTGAGAGGAAGTGGAAGAGGAGAAGAGGAGAGGAGAGGAGAGACAGACGCACGGTGCTCCAGCAGACGTCGAGCACGGGTCCTTGGTGCGAGTACATCACTTTTCCCTGGCTCTGGGCGTTCGAGGCGACTTCGTAGATGCGTACCTGTCCAGACCAAATGGGAAAATCAGCATCTGTCTATTACCCCTCTCGTCCACAGGGCGTTGGAAAAGAATAGGTAAAAGGAGGGTTGAAAAGAAGAAACGAACACTGTTATCCCAGCTCCCCACCGCCAGATAATTCGCCTGGCTCGAGAACGAGATCGACGAGATAGAATCAGAGGGCGGGTCGCCGAGCTCGACGTCCTTCTCAACAGCGCTCGACAACGTAGCATTCATCGAGCGGGCGTTGGCGATGTTCGAGAAATAAGACATCATGTGAATGCTCGACGTTCACTCGCTCCTACGGGTTGTCTTTGCGCTTAAATCTCAAGTCGCCTGAGGTCGACTGAACGTTTTGAAGACCAGGAAGGCGAGCCAAGGCAAATTGAAGACAAGCGTCGAGTCGAACGTTAAGTGGTGCTGTTTCAGGGAGTATCCATCCCGACGGCAAGTTTCTGACTCACTAGCGTGCGGTTCCGCGTTTTCAGCCGAGTATGCGTATGCATTCGGCAGGACGCCTAGAATATAGTTGATCGGTCTAGTAACATTACAGGGAAGTTGTTTTACTTACCTGCAGAGTGAGTGATCGAATCAAAGGAGGGAGGAGAAGGAGGGATAAGTAGGAGTTCGTCGAATAGGCACCTTCGAAAGAAAGGTGACTTGAAAGTCATCATGGTCGTGGTCGTGTGCACTGTGCGCAACCGACCACTTTCTTTATTTGCGTCTGGGCTTCGGGTCAAGTATGTGTCGAAATTCGACCCAAGGTATTTAGATGGAAAGCCAAGACGAAGACGAGCGTCGAAACCGGCCTCTGGATTCTGCTTCGGGTATTGGGGTATTGAATATGCTCATTCGCGTGGTGATAATCACAGTACAGGAATCAAAGCTTAAGTGTGTTAAACGGGGAATGTGATGTGCGAGAAGGACGAGGAGGAAAGGGTCATTAAGGCTTTGAATCCTTCTAGTGTAGACATCGTATTGAATTGAGTTAGGAGGGACGAGAGTGCTACTGTGGGTCATGACGGAGGTGGAACCACGCCCTTTGGCAGTCCTCTTGAACGAGGGAGAGCTCGTCGAATTCGTTGCTGTCGTCATATCATCAACCGCCGCACTCGACGTCTCCCGCACTGCCTTCGAGCTCGCCGTAGGAAGTGCGTACCACCACAGCGTCGTGATGCCCACTGGGAATATGTAATTCGCATTTTGGCGACCAAATATCATAGTTTTGGAAAGGAGGTCGAGGAGAGAACGGACCTGCATCCTGCTACAGGATTCCACGTCCCGGAGGTGTTGTCGTTCCCTACGCCCGCGCAACCCACATCCATCCATTACCTATTCTTTCTCATATACCTAAGAATCGACGGGAAAAACGTACAATTCATCACCACAATTGAATACCTCACCCAGTCTCCCGTGTTCGCTCTAGTCGTCTCAAACGGCACGACTCTCAGCGCCCGCCCTATCGTTCCGCCCAGCGAGACGCCAATCCGTTTCCCGAACGGTCCGGGGTCTGAGGCGATGTTCCACATAAGGCCCTAAATCAGAGTTCGGCGAGTTGGTTTCTTCCTACCAAGAGAAAATGGTGGACAGACGGATTTTGCGTTTCGTTCAATCGCGCCGATCCTCCTGGAGGGCGTGATACTTCGCACTATCGCTAATGGTGATGTCTGAGCTTCCTATGGGATCGAGCATCATGAAGTTAATAGGAGGAGATATGTACATATGCACGAAAAAGTCCCACGGTGAGAGAGCTCACATGCACAGCTAAACTCACGGAATCTAGTCACCCCTTCAATCCGGTGGCCGGGCCGAAAATCCTGAAAATGGCCCAGTTGAGATATTGGAGGGAGTTGCTCTAGAAGGCGTAAAGCTTTAGCGCTTTAGCGCGTGTACTTCCCTGATGATCGTATATTCGCATCCTTATTGTGATTCGTACCTCAAGGCATACCATTTGAGACATAGTCATTGGGAACTTGGACTCGAAGAGAGACTGAGGACGAAACATCTATTTATTTATGGAATTGGTGCGAGCTCCCTAGATTCTCCAGAACTCTCCAGAACGATATTGATATGACGACCCGCACTTTTTCGTTGATACTTTCACTGAATTCGTGGTTCAGTAGGTACGGGATCTTCCTGTATTCGCCCCTTCTTTGATACCCGAACGTTCTCCCGCCGTGAAACTGTGCGCGATATTGTAGTGATGCACGTTCCACGAGTTGGTATTCGTGACTTGCGTCGGCCCGCTCCCGAATGAAACGGCGCTGCCGTTTAAGCTGCCAAAAGATGACGATGGGTGAGAGAAGAGCTCTCGAGTGCTTCCAAGGGTGGTTTGGGATGCTCCAGGCTCTGCGGCGCGAAAAGAACCAAATAAACTGCTTGAGCGCTTGTGTCGTGGAGTGCGCACTCGGACTCTTCTGTGTCGCGATGGTGGTCTCCGAGTGGATCTAGCGCGAGGCCTCCGACGACTTAGAGATCTTCTGAACTGGCTACGTCCTGATATATGGTCGTTCCGAAGCAGTTCTTCCACCGATCCGTCTCCATCAGAATCCGTGTTGTCGTACTCGTCTCCCGTCCAGCTGCCGTCACTGGAGGTGAGGTTATCTTCTTCCTCTGAGGTATAACCATCCTCAGACATGGCATACGAACTCCTCTGAGCCAAGGCTATGCTGGTGTCAGAGGCTTTAGTTGGCAAGAGTGTGTATCCACGAGAGCTTGGCCGCTTGCGTAAGTTTGATTCTATGTTCTCGCGTCGCTGCATGGGTGGTATGGGATTCTGAGAAGGTGCTTCGACGGGAGGCTCGTATGGTGCATAATACCCGTGTCCCCCATACTGGCCTTCAATCCATGGCTCAGTCGTTGGAACGGGGATGCTGTATGGCGTGCCCATGGGGTATCCGGATGGCGTGCCCACGGGGTATCCGGATGGTGTACCCAGGGGGTATCCGGATGGGGGGGCTTGCGCTCCGAGGGACGGCACATAGTAGCGTCTGTTTGGATAGGAATACGGTGATCTCGATTTTTCTGAAGCATCCTCTCCCGTGATTCTGGGAGATGCGCTTTGAGGCCGCGCACGATTATCGAGGCTTTGATGTGTCCGCCTTCGACTTCTCCCCTTTTGTTGGTAACGGCGGCGGGCGAGTCCATCCTCTTGTCGTGTTACCTTCGGTCCCCTCATATACTTCTGCCCTCGCCGCTTCTTGTGAAAGCTTTCATGTCCGTGTTTATCTACAGCGTCGCCGCGAAGCGTACTCTTGTCCTGCTCGTTCTCACCCAATCTCGCCAGGAATTTTCCGATGAGTTGCATCGTGCTAGCTGATATTCCGGCAGTGTTCCGTTGGTGAACCTTTTCGTAAATAATCTCTTCGACAGATTCTTGGATAGTTGTATTGGCGCGCACCTGACACATGTGTGATGAAAAATTCCGTGCATGAACACAAGCAGAAATACTTACCGTGGAAATCCTTGAGGCCATTTTCCCAAGACACCGGCGAAATTCAGCAGCTTTCTCTTGGTCTTTCCGCCTTCGATAGTAGCGCTTAAACACTCCACGCGTAGTCCATTTCTTGATGAAGACTTCTATTTCCGACAAGGTACTGGTGTTAAACTTCAGCAAAATCTGAAATTCGTGGGATTAGATACTTACTCTTCGAGTTGTCTGGTGTCCCACTTCCATTTATCAGGAATGGAGTGTCCCCTGTGAAAAGCCTCATCGCACTCATGGATGACGATAAAAACTGATCCGCAGGCATCGAATGCGAGTAAGGACAGGCCGCCAGGAATGTGTTCCCTTCGTTCTTTCTACAGCATACGAATGGATAGAAATCTAATCAAAAGTGGCCTTTAAGAATATATTCAAAAACTCACTTCGAATGCTTCTCGGATTGTGGTGGCCCGTGCGGCAGCCTCCTGGAGAAAGGAAAGGTGTCCTTCCATTAGTGTTCGGTTCAAGATTCTCTTCATGATCGTGGACCATGCTAGGCTCCCGGGCATCTCCATGTCCCGGATCGTTCCTTCTGGCTCGCCCTGAATCGTGAACGAGTGGGAAGCGGGGGAAGACGAGCTGATGTCGTTTCGAACTGCTTGAGTATTAAAGGCAAACGGGCCTTGGAGGGTAAGATTCATGGCCGTGCCGGACTTCTTGAGGCAATGCCACTGCCTTGTCGTCCATTGGCGCTGAAAACGCGAATCATGGGGAGAATCTCCACCGATAGTTGAGCTCTGCTCATCAGCATGCCGTTGAGACATAGCATTCTAATATAGTCTTTCACACCATTTAATTAGGCATTGCCTCGGCGTCTGCCAATCGCCGAGGTATCCTCCGAGGAGACTCTCTGCAGAAGACCGAAGGGAACGTCGGTTTGAACGACACTCTGGATCTCGTCTCGACGAGGAAACAGAGATCTCATGTTGAATTTTGTCTCGAACGGAGAAGGGAGAAGGGGATAAGTGAAAATGAATGAATAACGCTCAAAAGCAAAGGACAGGCGATGCCTGCCACATATTCACAAATGAAATCGCCGGTTGGTCCGCAATGACAAATCGGCTGAGTCGTTGTCGAGAGACAGCGGACCGATCGGTCTCAGGTGGTGGAAAGAAAGTAGGGGTTACGGGACAAAATGAGATGAACGTCAACGAAGGAAGGCAGACGGTGGTATCGATCCTGGAAAGTAGAAGGCCGTCTTAAGTAAAGAGCGACGAACAGCACTCGTACGCGTAACAGGGGTAGACTCTGAGACCCCACTCACCTGTGGTGTATAGATCGCAGGCCGCAGGTGCGTGAAATCGACCACATATAAGAACTCCTTCGTCAGACCGCGGGAAATACCACGCCTAGGGAAATACAAGAGCGGACCTGACGGACAATGGAACACTTTGGCGATTGGTTGATGATGGAGTCACTCCGGCGTCTGCCTGGCATTTTGAATTGTCAATTGAAAGTTTCTTCTATCACGGTCGACGGTCCAAATTTATGTCGAGAAGGGCTCATAGACTTCGTCTAAAAGTAATACACTTGCAATTGCGTCCCTGGAGGCGACTGGCACCAACATCAGGGTCCATAGTTATCACATAAGCGTCCACTCACATTACGATATCCAATAAGACGATCCTCATCAATCATAAAGTATGGGGAAAAGTCATCCGGGACCAAGCGCGAAGCGCTGTGAAAGGGGAGGCGCGTGACTATGCGCTGTCGGAAGATCCCCTCCGGAGGAAGGACGGTCGGTTCGTTGACCCCGAGCCTCTGGCGTGTGCCGTTCGCGGTGACAGTCGAAGAAGGAGCCAGATGAGGGTTGGAAATCGAGAAATCGAGGACCTCAAAACTCGTGGCACCATGCGACTTGCAGACGACGCGATGGCCATGAGCGTACCTACACAGAAATGTATGAGTGGGAAGTTGAGCGAAGACCAAATGTTTACCTTGGCCAGGTCTCATGCATGCGTTCCCCCATAAATCGCGTTTCACATTCGCCCCATTGGCCCCATGGTATATCAGGTACTTTACCTATAGCCGCGACTCCAGGCTCGAGGACAGTGTACTTCAGGAAGGTTTCACTGCGCACAAAGAGGTTATAGAAGCGGTATGAAGAGGGACGAAGGCGGTTCCGACGGCGGTAACTCAAGGAGAAAACGTGAATGCGTGAGTCGGGCACCGACATAAACGGCTTGCCCTGGGTAGGACGGCTTTGAAACTGCCCAGAGTGTATAGTGGCTGACATGACATCGGCATTATGGGTGATTCTTGGGAGTCTCAGGCTTGCTAGTCGCTGTGGGAGGCGCGGAGCGATTGGGGAGAACCTGTATACATCAATGCACCCTAATCCAGACACACGCGCTAAGATGAATGCGTCTCTCCGAAGCATATCGAAACCACATGCTTCGAGTGGGAACTGTTGGTCGCTCGAGTCCTAGACTTACGCATGAGTGCCGCGCTCCACCGATAAGGGATGGACGCACGTAGACGAGAAGCCCTGCTCTCCAATTCCAGAGCAACAGCCGGCTGACTCCTGGTACAGGGATGAAAACCGTGAAAACATCATCCGCAAGCTGGAGTTCTGGTTTCAATAAGCCATTGCCATGCTCCGGATGTGGTGAAATGTCGAAATAGAGTGGACTAGGCCTCGAGTGAGGGTGTGCTGCATTCACCGAAATGGAGCGTGGGTGGATCGTCACTCGTCGGCTGCCACTGGGAAGCTCGCTGGATAAAATCGGAGACACGTAAACATTGAAATAAAGAGAAGATGAAAACCCACATCTCCTCCAGCAGGACGACTAAATCTTGATTTGGGTCGATGGCGAGATCGCGGACGGGGAAGCCCACTGATTCGAAGCAGACTGTACGGGTCTCTTGCGTCGCTGATGGAAGCCAACACACGGATAAACGTGTTCCATCGGTTCCCACAAATACCCCAGAGAGCAGTTCGTATGCAGTCAATTCTCCTGGGATCTTTACAAACTCAGCGGGCGTCCACTCCAGCAATTCCCAAGCCATTCGCTGATGTCGCACCCGTGCACACAATTGGTCGGGTGGTTCCCCACTTCCGGTGTCCTGTAAGTAGTTCAAGCGTAGCTGATACATATATTGGAGAGTGGGCGACTGAAATGCGTCATAAAATGATCTGCAGGACTGCAGAATTGTGAACAAGAATGTTGATAAGAAGGCAAGACAACCCTACCAGTGCGAGGCACAGCATAGATTCGGCATCGAGAAAAGCCATTATCTCGATTCTGAGCTCCTTAGGCAGAGAAAGGAAGGCAAGATCCACCATTCTTATCGGTGGACGTGGAGGTTGTGGTCAAGGAGAGAGGACACCCTTGCTGCTGAGAATCATCACACAATCTTATCTTATCTTTCTTGATCCTGTACAGTTCCTTCAATGGTTTGCCCATTGAGTCGGCATTGGGACTGAATATTAAATTTTCACTGCTGAGATAGAGGATACTATAACATGGGCCACGTACTCCACGTCCACGTAAATACACAATCAGTACCTTCAACCGACAACTGACATCAAGACGTATGACTAGTCGTATTGATAAGAATGGGGAGGGATGTAGCGACCTGGCCACCAGCCGAACTCGTAAAGGCCGCTGGCGCAGTGGAAGACTGAACATCGGCTGACGAATGAACCGTAACGTTGACTGGATCTGTCGTTACGGTCGAGTTCGTAGGGGTTATTCTGGAACTTCCTGTGGCTGGTGCAAACCACCATAGAGTCGTAACGCCCACTGGGAACGTATACGTAGCCTGTAAACATGTAGAGTGAGGGGCATAAACGGGACACTTCGACCAGAGGAACTTACCTGCATCCCTCTGAATGCGATCGTCGCGGTAACAGGAGTAGGATTCCAGCTTGATGAGGCATTATCGTACCCTGGCCGAGGTCAATAATTTACCTCAGACATACGAGAATTGGCTGACGTACAATTCAGAACCACAATCGAGTACCTCAGCCAATCCGCAGAGTTGGCTCGGCCAGTGACGAACGCGCTGACGCGGAGCGCCCACCCAAGCGATCCGCCCACCGAGACGCCAATGCGCTGAGCGAAAGGTCCGCCGGCGTCTTTGGGGATCGTTCCTTTCGAGGCCTGCGCCATCGAGTAAACTAAACACGAGACGAGTAAGAAGCTGGCGAGAAGAGAAGAGAGAGTCGTACATTCTTGGTTGAATGAGTAACTCCCGTCGCTGTTCACTGTAACGAGAGCACGGCATCCCGGTCCGCCACAACTGCTCGTCCCGGGAAGTTTGGGACCACCGGAAGGGTCAGAGGCGAGATTCCACATGAGCCCCTGGATTAAACGTGTTTAAAGAGTGAAGGGAAAGGTGTGAAGCTGAACGTACGGATTTGGAGAACCGTTCGATGCTGCCAATCCAGCTAAAACAAAGGTGTAATTCAGGCCTCAATGGATAGGGAAACGGGGAAGCTTACAGATTATCCATGTACCACTTTACTCCAAAGTCAGTATTGACAAATTCTCGACGAAGGAAGCTCGAAACTTACCTTAATATCGCTCCACCAATCCGACCCCAACGTTCCAGTGCACTCGGTGAAATATATCTCCTACAAAAATATCAGAAAAACACTCCCCCAAAGTGAAGAATAATTCCGGTCGAACCTTGCTAGGATAGGCGTTATGAAACGTATTCTGATTAGAAACCGAACCACCGTAGCAATGGAAGGCCACCCCGGCGAAGGCGTTTCCGGAATTCGCCATCTGGAGGCCAAACAGATCGTCGTAAAGGAGTGAAAGCTGAAGACGACGAAGAAACGTACGAGCTGGATGGCATATGTTCCTGCATTGTCCCAGTTATGCTGCACGAATCACGTTAGACACGTCTCTCATCACAGTTTCCGAGTCTTTTACATCATATCCAACGACCCTCACTCCTCCCAGCCCATTCGCAGTCAACAAGCCCCTTAGCGCTACCCCGATCTGCGCCTCGACGGCCGATGTCATCGTGCAAGTTGGGTACGTCGGGTTGCTGTGCTGCGGCTCGTTCTGGATGTTGATAGCGTAGATTGGGAAGCCGAGGGATTGGAAGCCTTGCACGGATTTGAGGAGGTAGGTGGCGTCTGTGGTGGGGTGGATGAATGGTTGGTCGAGTGGGAAGGAAGAGACGAAACGAGAGGCATAGGGAAAGAAAACGGGACGTACAAGAGCTGACGTACTGGGAGCGAAGGGAGCCGCCGTTCATCGAGTTGCTGTCCTTCATCCATCCGGGCTGGGAAAGCGTCAGCGCATGAAGAATAATGCGAAATTAGAGTAGTATACCGGAGACCAAGGAACGAGATGGAACTTTAGCAGGTTGTTGACCGACTGGATGTCTCGGAGGACTGAAAAGACGTAAGAAGGGATACGGTTGATGTTGAAGTTGGAGAAGCTCGTGTCGCCGCTCGTGTCGTCCAAGCTATACGCTAATGAAAAGGTTAGCATGTGGAGCAAGGTAGAGTGAAGGCAAGATTACCGTTGGCCGAGAAGTCGGAGGCGCCGATCGGGAGGCGTATGTAGTTTAGACCGGCGGCGTTGGCATTGTCAGTCGGGTCGAACATGGAGCGAATGAGGTTCCAGTAGTTGTTCGAGTTTCTGGCCTATGAATAAAATGCGTTAAATAATCAGTAGTTTCGTCGATCAAGACGAGAGATAAACGTTTACCTTGAGGTTATTAAGAACCAGCGCGGAGGAATCGGCTGAAGGTCATCTTACATGAGCGAAATACATCGAGAATGGTCGTAGAAAATACACCTACTCAGAGAGGCCCCGAAGCCAGAGATAATCTGAAACCTCGACGCTTCGTTGACGACGATGTCCGCGCTTCCGATGGGACCTGGGGTGACGAAGTTTATTGGAGACGACATCGGGAGGCGAGTGAAGAGACGCGATCGATCCCAGGTCGTTTGCCACTGCGGAGGAATAAGCATGGAGTACGCAAAGCTAGAATCCACGCACGATGTCCCAGATCTGCTGAGAAGCAGTGGGTAACGCGAGTGCGAGAAGCAAAGCGAAGTTGCGAGAAGGCCGCATGTTGGTCGAATCCTGGTTAGGGCTAACGTTGCAACAAGCTCGATGTTTATATGGCCGCTATTTCTTCCACTCTAGAGAAATTGGATGCGGGGAAGGTCAGAGAACGACGCGAGCAGCGCCGAAGGAGATACAGCACCTCTGGCACTTCGCTTGGCGAGTCAAATGGCATGTCAGGAGGTTCAACCAACGTAAAATCCTAAACAACACTTATGAGCGTTAGGGAACACCATCTTCTTTTGGCGAAGAGGCAGCCCAGAAAGGAGCACGTACAGATGGTCCATGAAGATCAACGCAGATGGGCGTCCTGTGCTATTGTTTCGTCCAGGCTGATCTTCTAGCATGGATACCAGCTTCCCGCAGAGCAGCTTCCCGCAGAGCATCACGCGAACTGAGCACGACACGGAAGCAATCGCACAGGACGAAGAGAGAACTTCACAGTTTCGCGGGCGAAAAGGCCATCGCGGAAGGAAACCAACAAGAGAATTGTTATGAGGGCACGACGAGGTGTCGCGAGATCTCAGAGAAAGATGTAAATATGTCGCTGAGCGGTGACTCTGGCTCGACGAAGCACGTGTCTAGAGTTGGAGGGCACATGAAGAAGCATGAATGACGGGCTCAACTTGATATACCCTCACCTGTACCAACACCTGTGCAGCCTGCCGTCACAGCAACGGCGACCCGGCTTCTCCTTCACATATTTGGCATCCTCCATTCCTTCCTCAACACGGGGAAACACCGCTCAACCAGCGTTACTCGCTGAATACTTGAAGGTCAGTCGTGGTGGTGGTTCATGTGCAGAGCTCGTTTCCCGGGGACAGACGGGTTTCTAGGGAGGGAATTGCTAGTCAAGCGGTGAATGCGAGATTTGTATGGTCAAGGTGTGGTGAGAAGGCGATCTGAAGAGCGTCGTGAATGCTAAAGTTAGTTGCAGGAAGAGCCATGAGGGACCTGGACGAATGTGGTGGGGAGTCGCGGAAGAAGCCGGATGAGATTAGATTAGATTAGATTCACTACATTGTGGACTAAGTACACGCGGTATGCGTCGGCCCTAACTGTGAACGGTGTCTAGTGATAGAAAAAAATTCCTGAGCCATTTGAAACGCACCTCTACGTCGCATATCAGAAGGTCAGTCGGTTGGAGTTCTGGGTCGATCCAACAAGAGGCTATACTAATCAAACAAGTATACACACAAGTATACACCGCCCACCGTGTCTTCCCTGACCCACAACTACAAATACAGGCCACCCTTATACACGATTACGCACAAAGGCCAACACTACTACGAATGTTACCACTTCGTCTTTAACAGGCAGCACCCATACCTTCCAACTACATTTTAAACTCTCTCTGCCTTATGTCAAACCTTTTTACTGGAAGCCAAGGTCTCGTTATCCATAACTCGAATTTTCATGCGAGCACTACCTATAACACGACTGGGCTCAAAGGTGCGTCGCGAAATCTGCCTCGTCAATGAATTTGTGGGCTAATTGCGCAACCCTCCCAAGGTTTCGACTTGCTCGTGAAGGCTGTATCGCCCAATGCATTCCACAACTCCGACGACCGCCCTGATCCTCCTCGGTGTCACGAAAACACGCGGGTCGCCGTAATCAACCGAATAATCGATTGGGTGACGGGCAAGATCGACACAGACTCTTTCATTCTCTGGCTATACGGGCCAGCTGGAGCTGGTAAATCGGCCATCGCACGTACCATCGCCGAACGTTGCGAGGAGCTTGGCCTGCTCCTTGGTAGCTTCTTCTTCTTCCGCACCGACCCTGCGAGAAATACAACACGACAATTCGTCGCCTCTCTCGCCTATTGCATCGCGCTCACGGTTCCTCCTGCGAGAGTATTGATAGAACAAGTTGTCGAGAGTAACCCCCTCATTTTCCAGTATTCGCTCGACACTCAGCTCGCCAAACTCGTTCTGGAGCCACTCCAGCATCTCTTTAATCAAGAAACTCCTCGCCTGGCTCCGCAACCGCTTCTCATTCTCATCGATGGTCTTGACGAATGCTTGGACGAAGATTCCCAAGCGCAGCTAATCAAGGCCATTTCCTCCGCCTCCCGTCGAGTGCCCGCCCCACTCAGATTCCTCATCTCCAGTCGGCCGGAAAGACATATCAGCTTCGCACTCAATGCCTGTGGACCTTCGATCGTCTCCCATCTCGAACTCAATAACGATCTTTCGCCGGGCAAGGACATACTCCTTTTTCTCACCAATAAATTTCGCTCGATGAAAGAAAACCATCCCTATCGCACGCTTATCCCTTCTTGTTGGCCTCATGAAGATCAGCTCCACCTTCTCACACGAAAGGCCTCTGGCCAGTTTATCTACGCTTCCCTTGCCGCTCATTTCATTGGTTCCCCTCGACACTTGCCAACACAACGTCTGGACATAGTTTTGGACCTTCGACCGGCTGACAGTGACCTTCCCTTTGCGGAGCTGGACCAACTGTATCGATTCATTTTCTCCCGCGTCAGTAACATCGGATTGGTCTTACAAATATTGGGCATCATCATAGCTCTTCGATATGAACCACACTTCCAACGCCTCGACATCGTAGAGGAAATTCTTGAGTTAAAGGAGCCTGCTACGTCGATGGTAGAGCTTGCAGATCTTCACCCTGTCATGAAATGCAAAGACATGACAAGCCGAAATGTGTTTCATCACTCGTCCTTCATCGATTTTCTTATCAACCACCAGCGAGCGAAAGACTACTATGTAGATTCCCGGAAAAGTCACACCCAAATTCTCCAATGGCTACTTCGCATGTTCAGAAACGACAGTAAGCCTTCTTACTTTATTTAAGGCGAATTCTATACTTAAATGCAACCACCTAGGTTCTCCGACGCTGCGACTTGATATCTTCGTCACCCCTTCACATTTCCCCAGTCTCCGGCAACACTTGGTGAATTGCTGGGTGACACCAGACCTCGAGGACGAACTGAAAGCTTTCACCTTGGATACCTATATGAGAACTAGGCTTTCCATGGGCGAAGATCTATCGTCTGTCCTAAGTCACGTGAAAGTTTCGTTCTTAAATGCCTTGAAGGAGGTGGTATGTTCTTTGCCCACATTCCTCGACCCGTTCTGACGAATGGTATCTCAGAATCAGCATGAGCTACACCGCCATCACACTTCGCTGTTCGAGCGTCTCATCAAGCCAATTTCTGCAGTCGATGGCTGTCCTAGCCCTGATAAATTTCTTGTCATAAGCGCAATTCGGGGTGCCGCAACGAAGAAATTATGCTTTTCTCGCCATTTCTTCAAGTTGTACAGCTATCACCGACCTTCCGGGTTTCGAGTCTGGGACAAGATGTGTCGAGAAATCTTCGGGTTTCAGACAGTCGATATTCTTTGGGACTTGGAACACTACAGGCTACTCGAGCCTCCGGACTATTACGTGTACATGAGGGATATGTTCGAGGACAATGAACCACTATGGCCGATATACGGAACTCCAAAGGGCCGAAAGACAATCAAACCCACCGATCATAGAGTTTGCGAAGGACTCGTTCAAGTCGTCATCAGGCTTCGAAATCTCTTATATTGTCACGGCTCACACAACACGCGCAAAGCACTCCACTTACTCCACTCATGGGCTGCCAAATCGACCCGTTCACCATGGCTGTCAAGACGGCGGACGAGATTTCTCAACTTCCGACGGGGAATAAGGTTCAACGACCCTCCCCGTGGTGAAAAGCTACGATCGCACTCTTCCAGTCTTCGAAATTTATCGCACGCGTTCAATGCAGTTCCCAGGTTTTCTGAAGTGGGATATTTCACGGCGCGTTTGAAATACCTCACCGCATTGGATCTCATGCGCCTTGTTCTCCACGTCGTACAGGAGTCGAACGAGATATCGGCATTGCTATTGGAACCGTTCATACTCTACCCTGCGACAGTCCTGTTCCCAAAACACACGCGCCGTGTCATGTGTGCGGTCCAGAGGTACTTGGAGAAGGTCAGTGTTGTCCAATTTTCCCGCTATATTTGGGATTTACCAGCTCTCCTGCTATAATCCGGATCTCCAGTACAGCGCAAGAATGTATGACATCTCTGCCAGCTCGAGTGATGAAGAAGGATATGCTACCTGTGTAAGTGGGTCCTGGAGCCGTGCCTCGAAATAGTGGTTTCAGTTGACTCACAAGGACTGCCAGAATTCCGACAATGAAGGCCCAAACGGTAGGGATTAACTGAGCAACCGAGAAGGCCCATATGCTGGTAACGATTAATAAGCTAAAGGTGTCCATGGCGCCCATAGACAATCGTCATGACGGAGAAATGAAATGTTATGTCCGCCATTGGCATGGTGTGCATAAGCCGAGAATGCGAATCGAAAGTAGAAACAATATGCCACGGACGCCAAAGAATCAAAAATACAATTCTTACTGACGCCAGGGCCCCTACAGTATTTACAAACTATTTCATGACGTCATTGGGGGATGTCTTCTAATTCTTCCGATGCATTATGCATAGCTGCGGACCTCACATTACCCACAGTGATTATGAGATGGAAGGCTGTATCCGAAGATGAATCCACTCTCTGCATACCTTCTGGTGAGTTTACCGGGTAGAAAATAAGGGACCTCTCTCAATACATCCTGTCCGTTGTCATTTCACCTCACAGGCGACGATGGACGGGCAGGAGTTTCGGGAAACCTGAAAAGGAAATATTTACTTTTCTGGTATCCTGCTCATGGCGGACCAGTTCGAGAGCAGGAGGGGCCGAAGCATCTACAGGCAAGGTCTGTGAGGTATAACAATTGAAATTCAATTTTGTCTATCCCCAAGTGCGAAGAGTAATGAAGACGAGAGGATATGGAGACGCTTGCCTGAGCCCGGAGCACCAGTGTGCGCAACTTCATTCACACCCTTCGCCTTGAAATTTAGAAGGACAATTAAAGCCAGCATCCTTCAGCTCCTTTTGCCATCCACACTTGAATACAATTGTTGCTCTGGGCTAACAGCTATATTCTGCTCGAAACTAGCCCACAACTTAAAAGATATATAAACCGCGTCTTCGCGGCTACAAACTTCAGTCGAACCGCTACACTTCACAGGCAAGTTGATTACGAACTTATACACTCAGACGACTAAATTGACATCTGAGATAGTGCCCCCAATGCCCTATAACTTCAGAAATCACGAATGGGAGAAAATCCATGCTATAGAGCAATTTATGAGGCAGAGGGATGCATTTCTGCAGCAGTGCGGATCACAACTCTGTATAAATCCCACATGCCTGAGCAACTCTCGAGTACTGGGCGATCCAGGATCCCATGTCTTTCATCCATGCCGCTGCATCTTTAGAGGGCTCGGCGTCCAATGGTTCGTTGTGGTCTGCACCAATACAAACCAGGTCAGCCCTAACGACTACGGGAAATGTTCAACATGCGAAAACAGGCGCATGACATTCGAAGATGCAACCATGTTTGCCGAATTATCTGTTAGACGGCAGCAAATTGCCACGGAGCAAGGCCGACGGTATATTACGGAGGCACAGTTGTGACTGGTGGAGGGCGTGGGCTTGAAAATGTAGATCATATCTGGTCTACTTACGGGAAATGGCCAAGCGTAGGAAGACGTCAGGCGAATCGAGTCCCGTAGATGCTACAATATTGGATAATTCATTATGAAAAATATTATCCTTTCAAACTGGGACGACGCTGTATAACCTTAATTCTCGGCGTTGACCCGCCATTCCCCCGTGAACTACCGATCTGCAGACTAACTCTAAATGCACTCCTTCCGTGTCAGATTTCGACCTGCCAGCCTTTCAGACATGCGAACTACTCTCAATGCCAGAAGTTGTGCTCAGGGAACAGGAGATGCGGAATAAAACGAGAGACTTATCCGAGGCGGACTTCAAGTGGTGGCCAACAACGAGGTCAATGATTGCAAAGACGTCTCATCGGTCTGGATTGTGAGTACAGCATCTGTTTTTCGATACAGGAACTCGTTGAGATAATTTTCCACGACCCCCGTAGCCTGCTTCCTCCCTCTACGAGGCGCGGAGGCGCCGTTTACTGGCTTTACGGTGCTGGAGTAACTCGAACAAAGCTTATGGCCGATTACAAATCCTGCAGCGGGTCGTGCCCCAGCGACAAGGACAAGAAAGTGGTTTCTCGAATCGTCTTCGTGTGTCAGTTAAGCCCTGGTGCGGACGGTGCTTCATTCGCGCTCTACGGTGAGAAATCCCGTTTCCTCTTCGATAAGTAGGTCTTAACCATTCTCAACGTTGTAGTCTCTCATTCACCCGAAGCTAAGTTCGAAGAATGTCGTCCACCAAGAAGTTTTCTAAACCGAGGTCATCGTGGGCGTGCATCACGCCTCATGTTCAGACCGCGAGATGTGGTGAGCATCTCCCAAGCCACGATTAATTGTGAGATCCTTGTAGATTCGTGCATGGGCATGAGGAGAGCTCACTGTCATATTCCAACGTCGCTGCTTATCCTCACAATCTCGCACGAGATCTTCACGGGAGACTTGATGGAAGCTCTTTCCGCCTCTATCACGATCCACCAATTATAACACCGCCAAAGCGCACCATAGGGCCAAATATGCGCGACTTGCGAGTACCGAAACTCGTGAAAAGTGAGTCGTTCGGCCATTTCGTTTCGGATAAACTGACCTTCAGGGTCTAGAATCTTACCTATGTGAGCCTCTCCATGCAATTCTCTGCCCGGTGTCATCTTCGAAGAGCCATTGTCGTCTGCTTTCCTCGATTTAACCCCCGTGGTTCTGTTCTGTCAGCAGCTCCTTGCAAATTTATCGCACGATTACTGCCTTTGGTATCGCGTCTCTAGTTTGAAGTCAACGGAAGGATATAGGTCCACAGCCTGTCGGCCATCGAGAGGTGAGAGCGCTTTCACGGACACGGGTTTTACTCCCGCAGTCCAGGTCTCTCATCAGCTCGCGATCGGCATCACTCCTGCCCTTATCAGTGTCGCCTTAGAAGACACTGAATCCTCTGCGGTATATGTTAATGACGCACCATGAATCCCTATTTTACTCTATTCTTCCTCTTTCCACGGCAGGCTGATCTGTTCGCCTCTGAGGTATGCGATGCTAGATATTTCATTGAAGCATCACCGCTCTCCGCGATTGAAGTTCACCGTGCCCGGTTCCTCGCGGATTACTCGACCATGATGACAACGATAAGGAATATTCCCTCCCGCGCATTCCCTCCCGGCGCAGCCTTTGCAAAATTTTGAATTTTGGGACCATTGGTCCTCCCGGACTACCTAGGAACCGCGCGCTAAACACCATTCTTGGCAATTTTCTCCCGCACAAACGGGCCCACACGCCCCTATCCTCTCATTTTCTCAGGCACCTCGTGTCGGCACCGAGCACGTTCCATGTGCTACCTCTTGGATTCAGGAGTCGTTGGACGCCATCGGCGTCGGCCTTGACGATGGATCAACCAGCCCACCAATGAATGAGGCGATTTCCAGGGCGCTTCTCTAGGGTACTCCACATCCAGGTACCCCCACGACGGGGGAGTATTTCCTCTCAACTTGCCATCGTGGGGTGTCTCTACTTACAGTTCCTGCAGCTTTCAGCTATGCGTTCATCTTAGCGATCGATATCCTCAAGATATCCTCTCAACCGATCAGCCAGAAAATTGCCGGCCTGCTCGATCTGGCTATGTCATCGCCGGAAAAGACATAAGGGCGCTCCAACAGATAACCGGATGTACTTGGCGAAAACCACTATCTTCGAACCTGTATGGTTTAATTCACCTTCATTTCTCTTCCACGATCACCAAAACCCCTAGCCGTTCTACAGATCTGGAAACGTCTGTCGGTAAGCCAAGATTTATGTTGCCCATTCCAGCCTCGACTCGATGACTTTTGGCTCCCTCCAGCCCGAGTCGACGCCACGATCGCCGGAGATTCGACACGTTTCAGCCTCTGCGGGTGTCTAGTATATATTCTCGGTTCGCTGGAACGAACTAAGATCGCCACCGCCACCATCCCTCCTTCCCTTTCACGATGATCCCTGTGACGATCGAGAATACCTTCGGTGCGATTGAGGTTGGGTCGTTCGGAGCGGCCTTCCTCTTTGGGATCGTCACCCTGCAATGCTACGTCTATTTCTCGCAATACCCAGAGGATTCGATGGCTGTAAAGGCTATGGTGCGTAAGGTGCAAGTTTTTTCACCTTCCTCACCGTTGATTCGCTTGTCTCAGGTGTCGCTTCTTTGGTATGACATCCTCAACGTTATGTCGACTGGTTCTCAAGCTCACGTATCATCCCTCAAGGGCTCTCGAATGCACCCACACGGCCCTCATCCTCTGGGAGGTTTACCGCCTCACCATAGTTTTCTATGGCCGCGCGGGGGAGGTCGAGCAGTACCCCGGTTTTTCCGCACTCCTGATGTTGGGAGGTTTCATCACGGCGATCGTGCAAGTGCGTCTTTGTGCTTTCTGCTATTCCCTTCCGCTTGTTTACATTCAGCCAGTGTTTCTTCGCGTTCCGCGTGTGGAAACTTCTCCCGAAGCCTTACTGCTTCATCGGGCTCGCCTGCGCTATTGCCAGCATCGCGCGGGCGATCATGGGCACTTACGGCAGCATCGAGGCGCTCATTATGCCCTCGTATCCTGAATTCCTGGTTCGCTTCCAGAATTACCTCACCGCTCTTTTGGCGGTGGGAGCGGTGATCGACGTGGTAAACGCCGCGGCACTATCGTCCTTCTTGATCATGCATCGCGAGAAGTCGTTCTCCAAGTGAGTATGAGTCTCTACTCTCGTAGTTCTTTCCTTCTCATTATTGACATTTTACGCAGGACGGCAAACCTGATCGACCGTCTTGTCGCTTATACGATCCGTAAGTCCACCCCCACGTTGTTTAATTCTGTGTCTCATTTCTTCCAAGGGACTGGTGTTGTCACTTCGTATGCCTTTTCGTTGTGGTGTTGGGGCTTCCTTCATAACTCTCTTTCTTCAGCGTTGCAGCGATTATTGTCCTGGTCCTGGTACGTGTGCCCAATTATATCTACAAGGCGATGTTGCTGAACATGCACTAGTTCCAAGTATTGTCCCCCACATGTGAGCTATCTCAAATCCCATCTTACGACGAACGCAGCTGTTGACACCTTCATTAGTCATTTCTCTCGCGATTTATGTTGCCCTCGCGAAACGTAAGTTCGATCCCGGTCAATTTGTCACGCTGCTGAATCGCTAGGCTCCT